AGAGAGGCACTGTGCGAGTAAAGTGTCTTGCCCAAGAACACAACACAATGTCCCCGGCCAGGGCTCGAACCCGGACCGCTTGATCCGGAGTCGAGCGCATTAACCATGAGGCCACCGCGCCTCCACAAATTCATTTCTCAATAAATGTCACGGTCACTAACACAACTCTAAATTTTCTATCTATAGAAAAAAAAAGTAGAAGTAACGTCTTATTAGTTTAGAAGCGAAAACTTCGTAGACAACTTGCGTACCAACATTGTTGAAGAAGTGATTGGCCACATAAAAATAGAAGCTTATTACAATCCACGTACCTGGAAATAGCTGCTTTGGAGGCCATTTTAACGCTTTCACCAGCACAGAGAAGTGTTCCACCTTTGGTGATCTGGATTTATCTGCACTTCCCACATCATTCAGAAATACTAGTATAAGGCGTGTAAGGAAACGTCGAATTAAGGATCTGTATGAACTTAACTATTTTGTTCACTTTTGCTGCGCTGATGGCCATGATTTGGATGCGATGTTAGCAAAAATAAAGGAAAATATAGACATAGACGGACATAGCAATTTTTCTTGGACAAGTCTGTCCAAGGAAAATTAGAATTGCTTTAGAAGCACACCCGACCACAACGACTGATCTCTCGAACAAAGCATGGCAAATTCATCACGATTGCATTGCTCGCCTTTTCCGTGTTCTAAGCTTCTTGCTTTTTGTCGATTCACCCCCGAAAAAATTTACTCTGTCCGGGTAACAGTGAAATATGTCATGCTTACCTATCAAGTTTTGAAGTTCGTCGTCTGTTAATTGTTGTTCCTACAGAGTGAAGAGAACGACAAACTAAAATCATGCACTTTAAGTAACGTTTTTCCCAGATCTCTTTCTTATGCAACTTCCTACTTAAAATAAGAGATCTGGGAACGAAAACAATGCACCGCTAAAGAATTCATTGAAGGCAAACTAACTTGATTTTAGCATAATGATAGAGGGTTGACATACAATATAAACACAAAGTAAAAAGCGACACAGATAAAGAAAAAGGAAATCATCAACCAAAAATTATCAAAACTAAAATCAAATTACGTTATTTGTGTCAGGGTAAACTCGTAATTCCGGTTTGGGAAGGTGAGAGTTAAAAAAGTCTGCATACAAAACGTCACTAACCTCTTCTAAGCTAGAGTTGAATTCTTTTAATTTTCCCGCAATTGCGTTGATGTTAGCGCTATCAAATGATACACACGACGTCTAAAAGGAAAGCCAACACATTCATTAAGACATGTACAATCAAAGTAACATGCTAGGGGTGGAGTGGGGAGTTCTTAGCGGAAACGTGGGTGGGGTAGTGCAAATGACGCTATTGAATACTGACCCAGTTTTAAGAGAAAATCTCGCCATTTTCCTACTCTCTTTAAGGTATGATTTATCTTGTCACTTTGTGATACCAGGCACGAAGAAGAATGGTATCAAGTAGGAACAGGTTTCTGAGGGCACTCCCCTAAATCACACCCTGTTCACTCAAGATTAAGGGCATCTCCTCTTCATCTTAAAACATCAGCAAGTCGCGAACCAACGGCCTATTAAGAGTTTCTAATCATCTGCTCTACGAAGGACAGTTAAACGGATTTGTAAGGAAAAGTCTGCGTCAGGCCAGTGGTCCATGAAGCCGGATCTTATCTCTGGTTTCTCTGTACATGTATTCCTACCCCTCTGGATGGTATGCTAGTCCAACGCAGGATTAGCACTCCGCTCACAGAATTAAATTCACCGTTTCCAATTTACATTCCTGGGTGGAGAGAGGCACTGTGAGAGCATATCTTGCACAAGAACACAACACAATGACCCCGGCCAGGGCTCAAACCCGGACTGCTTAATGCATAATATGCAAAGAATTAAAAGAGTTGCTGGTTTAGATACCTCAGGGAAGTAAGGATTTTGAGCAGCTGTGGGACTTTCATTTGGTGGACTGACTTGATTGGCTGGCTGTCCTGATCTATAACTACTGGAACCTGGAAAGATAAATCTCAAGATTAACTACCCATCACAAAAATTGCTTTCCCAAATTCACGCGCTGTTCACTCGGCTAACATTGAAATGAGCGTTTGTAAGCAGTTACATGTACAGCCGGGGTCATAAACGTAATTACCTTTTTCATGTAATTATGTACATTAAGGCCTATTTTCATGATAGAAAATATTTTTGGCACGTTTCCGATATAAACGATACGTGTAACTTAACAAAGGTTTGGTGCGGACAAATTTCGTTCAGTTAAAAACTTTTTCTCATCCGTGCAGAGGCAAAACTTTACCCGCGCTCGGAGCCACTGAATGGGTAATCTGAGGATGGGTGAAATGTTGGCTCCTCACGGATGAAGAAAAAGTTATTTGTACAACGCAATTTATCCGTACCGGCTCATCTTTTGTGGTTCCGTCGTGCAAACGGGCCTTAAGTAAAAGAGGAAAGAAAACAAAAAAAAGGATTCAGTTCAAAGTTAGAGTAAGACTGTGCCAATTTTTTTGAGGAAGGAACCTGAGGTCGAATTATAAGAGCTGGCAATCAACTCCAGCTTCCGTGGCAGTTTAAACTTCAAAGCAAACTTGGACATACAAACTTTCAAGGTGAGAAATCAGCGTCCTATTCGCTCCTTGGAACAAAACGAATTGTTCTATGCTGTTAGCACGCTATGCGACCAAATTTACTTCTAAAGATAAGCCCATATTACTTTATGAGGCAAGGTATTTTAATTGTCAGTACCAGTAAACGGGTCCACTCCATCTCCTGTATTAGTCTGTTGAGATGTATACAATGGTCTGTAGCTACCACCACCTGTAATACAAGAAAAAATAACAGCATTTAAACCAGCCAAGTATTGATGTGTTTCCCAGATTGGCCAAACAAATCACAAGTTTCATCAGACATGTTTTTAAATTTGTCTGAAAAACGTTGCGCTAATTCAGTTCTAGAAGTGGAAGCAAGTGTCAAAGACTGCTGCTGGTCAATCATCATTCTGCGAAACAACAAATAGCTGGAAGGTAAAACTAGATGGCAATATCTACGGTGTGTTAGCAGTGAAAGAGGTAACTAATGTTGAAGATTTTCGTAAACTACTTTGCTTGATACCGTGTTGAGACAGCAAGGAGAATTTACAAGCGACATTTAACGTTTGGATTTGGTTGTGCACCTGTAAAAGGATCAACACTTCCTCCTCCCATGCTGGTATCAGACACTGGCTGGGATGGCCCAGTGGGTGGAATATAGCGTCCAGCTCCTAAAATACAACATGAAAACCATTCCAAATACAGTTCACAAGCTATACCTCAACCCCCCAAAAATAACAGCATCCTTGGCAGTCCAATTCAATTGCAGGTATTCAAAATAACCCACAAGCAATATTAGCCTGGCTAATATTATAAATAACAGTCCTAGGTCTATGAAATCATATGAGATGCTTTACGGTGTTCCGGAAACTTACACTCTGATTGCTGAACAGTTCACAGTTGTGTGAGAATGCCTGTGTGTTCACCAGTTTCACTTTCCCCCGCTCTCTAGACCTTTTGCATGATTCCCCATCCTTACCACCGTTGAAGATATTTACTTCAAGCTGTGATTGGCTAACTAATGACGATGACTTTTTCCTAGACTGCTATCATTCTCTTCCTTTACCTAGCGCCAAGCCGATACAGAAATGTGAAGCGAAAGAGCAACGATCACGAGGCGAGAAGTTCGAGCAAAGAAAGAAGGAAAAAGAATCAGGCGTTTGATATTATTTAACTATCACTTCATACTGCACCACTCACCGGTAAACGGATCAGCAGCTGACGGTGCCTGTTGTCCTATTGTAACACCTTTAGTGTTCTTCTGGATGAAGTCAACAACTTGATCCAAGAACATCTGACTGAGATCATTGCGCTCTAGAAACTGGTGTGCAGCCATCCACGGATCATCTACAAGACGCCCAAAGACAACTGAGTGATTAAGGTGATAAACGAGATAACGTAAGTCTACTTTATGTCAAAGCGCTTTTTTTTTCAAGTTACGCTTTTTTCCCACATACCGCCTGTCGAGGGACGGACCATTATTTTTTTGAAGGGGTGGTAGGTTGGGCAATTTTCTGAGGTATGATTTTTTTTCTCACTTTTAGGTTGTCAATGATTTTTTTGGGTGGGCAATAGCTTGTGCAAGAATTCTTTCAAAATCAAAAATAGGAACTTGTTACTGGAAAGCGCTTGCTCGACTTTTTCCCCATGGCTCCCCTTGCACGATTTTCTTTCAGCAGTTTTTGCCCTGCAAGAACTTTTTTTTTGGAAATTGCCCAACCCCCAACCCCCACCTCCTCCACACACCTCGAAAAATAATTGCCCGTCCCTAATGAGACTAGATTACGTACCAGTTAGATTGTAAGGCAGCTTCATACGAGGACGGCCTTCTTGAATTTCAACATCAAACACGAAGTCATACTCCTAGGAGACAAAACAAATAGACGATATATTACCAGTTTTTAAATAAATTTATAAGAAGACTTCTCAGCACTAACAAATGTAATTGTGAACTTGAGAGGATGAGGAAATTACCTGCACCTATGAATTGCGAGATACTCTCATGGTTGCAAAACTACTTTACACAAGAGTGAAGGTGAGAAATTGAGAGTTGTTAGCGGACATACCTTCCCATTGTACATTGTTTTGTTGGTTTGTCTTGCAGCACCTTCTGTTCCCGCTGATCCTACTACTTCACCAACCTGTAACAAGAGAACAGATATGAAGGAACGTCAGTAAAGCAATGACTACGCCCTCCATGAACATTCTTTTGGCGCATCATGCCATCATTCACTTTGGGAAAGGAACACTCTGTGACATGTTTGTTTGGTTAGTCTNGTATTTCATCTATTATTTTGTCCCCTGCAACGGCTACAAAAGCCTGATTGCAAGGTAATGCTTGTCCCTTCTCATTCCGAAAGTGGAGAATGAATCAATAGAATATAACAAGTAAACAACATATTCTCCCAAGAAGCAAAAAAGTGAAAATGTCAAATATGATTAATGAGAACTGGCATGTTTGATATAGAGAACATGGCTGGCTTACTTGTCCCAAGATCCTGAAAGGAGTGTTCCAAATTTTCCAGCTATTAAACTACAGACAGCTCCAGTATGACCCTCCAGTCTGTGGAGAGGCTCTATGTAAGAAAAACAGTTTAAAACACAGAAAACCTGACAGTTTAAATATGCCTAACACAAACATGCTCAACAGTGAGTTTTGTGCAGCTTAGTTGTGGCCTGGGATTTCAGCTAAAGCACTGTTTTAGATGTTAATGGTTCTATTGGCCACATTGACTAGAGAATTGGCTGCTAAACCTGTTTTAGAATACAGTTGTTCTTGAAGCTTGTCGGTAAAGTCTGCATACAAGCCAAGTGGCCTGTCAGGCTAGAACTTATCCCAGTTTCTGTAACATGAAGTGACTAGGAATATTTCTACTCCCCCTGGATGGGATGCTACCCCTTTGCAGGGTTACCCCCGGCATTAAATTTGCTGGTACCAATTTATACAACTGGGTAAAGAGAGGCACTATGAGAGTAAAGTGTCTTGCCCAAGAACACAACACAATGCCCCCAGCCAGGGCTTGAAACCCGGGGGAGAGGGGGGGCACTGCCATATATGGGCTATATAAGTAGGTGCTGCTGTGAAGGGTATGGTTTTCAAGTAGTTTACTCTAGGATAGGGTATATAAATCAGAGCATTTGGGTCTAGAATAGGGTATAGTTTTTCACAAAACTGACTAGTTGGTTGAAGATTTTATCTAAACTAAGGAAACCAGGAATTGCCACTCAAAAATATAAAAAAATCAAATCAGCAAGTTTAAATTTACGCAAATCAGCCTAAACAGTGTCAAAAGATGAGGGGGATTTGGGGAGTTTACTCTAGTATAGGGTAGCAAAATTCAGCAGAAATAGCTCTAATATGGGCTAAGGGTTCCAGGGTCCCAGCGGCACATCCCCACCCAGAAATTCCCAAAGTACCCCCCCCCCCCTTGGGGCTTGAACCCGGACTACTCGATCCACAGTCAAGCGCACTAACCATGAGGCTACGGTGCCTCATGCAAGTCTTCTGTTTAGTTGTGGATTACATTCCTTAACTTACCAAGAGAATCCAGTGTCCAAACAAGAATAACATTGTCATGCCCACCAGTCACTACAAGACCTGAAAGACACAGAAATTCAGGTACTTAAAAAACTCTACCTACATAATCATTGACAAATATTGGCTTTTATTATTTAGACACGAGTTTTTCACTGGAAAACAAACCACTTATAAAATCATATGAAACTGCATCCCGCACCCAAGTGGCATATTGTCCATATCCTGACTAGTGAGGATATTGATGACATCATTACCTGCTTTTACGGCTGTTTGTGCTGTCAGTTTGACTATTAGTAAATAATATAAAGTAAATTACACAGTGGCTTGATAATACAGTGTATGACTTTTATTTTCTCATGTTAAAAACAATATTTTATGAACGAGTGCAGCAAGTGAGTAAAATATTGTTTTTTGAACAAAGATATTTTTGGCTAACTCCAAAATTAACTACGAATACAATTACTCCAATTGAAATCTCACCCAAAAGAAAACTGACTGTTGTTTATATGATTTGTAAGGATGGGCAGTACATGATTCTACTGTATGAAAGGACCTGTTTTATTATAATTACTCAAAATGTGTTACCCAGTCTTTTATCAGGATCGATTAAATGTTATTAAAATTCCAAGTTTACACATGACAAAGTTTTGTAAAGAAATCACAACCTATTGTTTAGATGTACACATTATATTATTCATTAATTAAAACTAGCCTATCAGTTTCTCTTCCAGTGCCAACTGACTAAACTGGCTGAAAGCTTCCAGGGGCTTTAGCAATTCCCATAATATTTAGGGTATAGGATTTAGCCATATTTTTGTCGAGTCATGAATGAACGTTCAGAAAAAGGTTGAATCTGTCCAGGCTTTAATCACTTGCATTTAGGCAGAATTTAAAGAGATTAATTTATGTTTCATTTGGAACATAGAGAACATACCATGTGGATATTTGTCTGTCGGAGGAATTGTGCATACGGCAGAAATGAAGTTATTGTGTCCACTGAGAACATGGCGCTCTTCAAAGTCAAGGGTTCCTTCACTAGGAACCCAAAGACGAGCAGTCCTATCTCGTGAAGCTGTTAAGATTCCTCCTTCAGGAAAAACTGCAGGACAAACTGCTCTTACGTCTAGTTCATGACCACGCAGAACACTTCTAAGTTTATAGGATGACATTTTTGTTTTCTCCTTTTCAAACCTCCACAATACGTGACAGTTTGCGCAGAGTACATGAAGTAGACATAAAACCACTGACCCACGTGTTTCGAGGAAAGGTTACAGACAGGTAACAAAATCTAGAGGGGATGAGAGGGACTGGAAAAATTACGAAAGATTGAAAGTTAGTCCATCCAGAACCTGTAGACAAACTTGTGGACAAAACTGTGCCGTAATGTGTAGTGTAGTAAACTTACAATTATTCATATCTGACAGGCCGTTCTTCTACCTTGGATGGAAAAAAAAAATATGACTACTGTTGAATTTCTTAAAAAAAAAATTGAAAGTAACACTTCTGCCCTTGATTGGACGCGAAATCGCGGATAAACTGAAGCAACCAAGCTCTCTCTCTCTCTCTCTCCTTTGCCACGAGAGAGACAAATATCGAGGTTGTGCAGCAACCGGAAGCGGAAAGAGTGCGGCGTAGTCCCTTTTGGGGGTGTGGGGTGAGGAGGCATGGATGTGTCCCCTTCAAAAAAAGCTCCGACAAAAAGAAATGGTGTTAATAAAAAAGAAAAAAGGGAAGAACCAAAAACTAAAGAGGATCAAGCGGAAGATAAGGTAGGGCTGTTTTATTTTCAGTGCGGCTATGATCTTCTACGATGCTGTGGTTTTAGACCGTAACGCTAATTTCAAGAGAGAGCGCGGCAAACAAACATTCAACTAACGGTGTATTTATTTAAATTAAGCTAATATTTTGTTTAAAATGTGGAAAAGTTGTCGATTTACTTCAAGATTTGCAGACAAAACACCAGATTAACACTGATTGATATGCTACCACAGCCCAAAGCTAGGATGAATTAAAAGATTAGTCATGATTAGTCCGTTAATTCTCAGGCAACGAGAGAAAAAACGCAAAAAAACCTTTAAAATCACTGTATAGTTAAGTGATCATTACATGTAAGTGGATGTTGCATGTTTGGATGCTGTTGGAATTGAATCGGTGTTCTAGCGGTCAAAGGTACCCGGCATCCTTCCCTACAATAGCTGATTCCCTTTGAAACCAAGGACGGTATTGAAATTGTTTTTTGACGTATTTTGCTCTCATTAATAAAGCAATCGTAATTTTGAGTGACGGCGAAGAATTTTGTAAACCTTATTTTCAAAACGACATTTGTTCTTGGGTAAATATAGAAACCGTCGTTGATCGACTGATGACAAAAACATGTTCATCAGATCATTTTTCATTGAGAATGTTTTCATAAAACAGCGGTTGTCCTATAACATTCAAATTTCAACATTTCAACAAACTCAAAATCTAATCGATTATAAACGCCACCAGACGTATTTTTCAAATTTTTTGTACACAATTTTAACAGACCGTGACAACATTAAGTATTGCTCAGCCATGCAGTTCATCGAATACAAAAGCTCGAAATGAAAAACGAATGAGACGAAACTACGAAAAGCTTTAATTGAACAATACCCTTTGGAAATTACATTAACAAAAGCCAGTCAAGCGGGAAAAATAACTTTAATAGCTCAAACAACACCGCTGTTTCGTGCAAATAACAATCTCAGCAAGGTCTCTAACGGTCTGACAAAATCGGTATAAAAACGCGTAACTGAACATGATAAATCATTTGCGACTTTGCTCGTAGAAGAATCATCTGCTCGCATAGCGAATGATATTCAAAATGAAACGCTCAAAATTACTGTTAACGAGCTCCGTAATTTTCATTCTCTTTACTTTGTATGTCAAGTACTCTTGTGCGAGGTCATATAAGGTAAAAAATGTTAATAATATTGTTTGATTTCATGTTACGAGCAGTGTAGTTAACATTTTTTTTTATCGCGAAATAGGAAATCCACCATTTGTTGACGGACGACGAAAGAGAGGAGATTTTTGGACATCCATTTGCAGAATATGGTAAGGGCTGTAACAGAAACATTGCTATTACATATGTGGGTTTAATGTACTGGACACCGTTTCCCAATTAAAACACTTTTTCAACCCTTGAATTCAAACAGTTCAGTCAGGGTACAGCTAGCAAATTCATTGAAAAATGTTCTCAGAAACTTAACTTTCTCCCTATAATTTTAACCAGAGTTATGTCTTTTCTAGCTTTCAAAAATTAGATAAATTTAGTGTATTGTTTTTCTGGCAACAATTTTTTCAAATCCACGAACAATCAGTCGGCTTATTTTCCCGCCTAAAACAGTTAAGCAGCATTCACAAGCAACTAACGGTCAGAACTGGTCAACCAATAATAGGACAGGAAAGCTGTACACGTGACTTTGCACATGATAATGAGAATTAAAACAGTCGTTGCGTAATCCAGGCTAACAAACCGTCAGCATTCCGTTACACGTAAACTTAGCATAAAATGTCTGAAGCAGCCGTCACTCGTCACGGTCTAACAGTCCACAACCACATGACGTCGACCATGGCCGTTAAATTTTTCACCTTCTTAAGTCAACCATGAAATTTCTGTAACACAAGAAATTTGAAATAAGGTATTCAAGCGTGTATCTAATGGTTGTCATACCATCAAAATAAGGGAAAAATGCAAATTCGTACAACATTACTCCGGCAGAAAACCGGAAAATGAGTGGAAATTACGCCACTACAATTGTTTGGAAAAAGAAATAATGAAGTCAATAAGTTTAGTAACGTTTTAAAAAGTAACAAAAGAATGGAAAACGCTACTATACAGAGTTGTTCAGATCACCGGTAGAGTGCTGCTATAGGGTCCTATAGGTTTTAGGTATGATTACGTAACAGGTTCAAAATTCACCTTCAAGCCTCGTTTGGGCGAAATTTTCTCAAACGTCTGGCACCTTCATGTCATTTTCACTTGCAAATTCTTTTCATCTTTGCTGCTTTAAGAATTTGCTCATGATAAAATTTTATCTGCAATTTCAAAACGAGGTTTCCTAATTTTAACTAACTCTACATTTCTGTTGTTGTTTTTTCAATTTCTTTTACCCACAGTTCCAGAGTATGATGTATTGCATCCAGTCCAAGTTGACGCGAGAGGCAGTTTCATGTCACGTGATCTGGCTAATGGCAACGCTCGTCGCAAGAGAGATATCGGTAGCACTGGAGGTTTTAAAGAGCCCGTCTTTTTCAAGCTCTCCGCTTTTGGCCAAGATTTCCACCTAAATGTCACGATCAACGATGAGCTATTCTCGCCCAATTTTGAGATCGAGATTCGCAGCAACGGTTCCTCAGAATTCCATTATGAAATTGACCACTGCCATTACATTGGTCAACTGCTGCCTGCAGAAGGGAACGAGAGCAAAGTGGCGGTCAGCAATTGCGATGGATTGGTAAGGAGTTTTGTTTTTGGAAATGTGTTCTCACAAAACACCCCTCTTGAAAAGCTGTATAGCTTAAAGTGGCTACAACTTGTAGTCCGTGTCATTCCTTTTTTCTTCTTTTTCCACAGAAAGGTTTAATTCGCACACCACAAGACGTTTTCGTGGTACATCCACTACCAGATCGTCTGAAACTGGGGAAGAACAACACCCGCGCCCACGTAATACACAGGAGGTCTTTATCGCCCATGCGTGTGCAGTCACTTGTAGAGGCTCTCGAAAAAGAGAAAAGATCTGACAGCTGGTGTGGAGTGGAAGGTATGAAAAAGAACTCACTTGAACCTTTGTTATTGGACCAAAATTTCCCGGATGTGTCGTTGAATAAATAAGATTTTGCTCTGGTCTTTGAGTTAACCGTGCTGTATATTTGCTCTAAAATAAGCAATCGGAGGAGACAAGCAGTTTTTTCCAACAACTAGAGCAAAAACAAAACATTGACTTCAGCATTTTTGACAGAAAAGGCAACCCTCTCGCACACTTTACATAGAAAATAGTACCCCTCCCACACACCTACAGTAAACAAACTGCGTCCTTTTCTTTAACCTTGGAATGATTATCCCTTAAAATTCTCGGATGAACTAGCCTGAAAAACGTACGCTGATGAGCGGAGCCTTCCCCCTTCAGGGGCATGAGAGAAAAATCTGTTACTCTTGGTGGTAAATGTTTTGGTTCATTTTGTTTTCTAGATGGATCAGCCGTTCAGCAGTCGGACGAAGGCGAGTCCCACTTGAATTTTGCTCGCTCGTCAGCCAACCAAAAGAGAACGATTGAGTCCATGATTGTGGTGGAGAAAATGATGACCAAGTTCTATGGTGTTGATCAAATCAAGAAATATGTGCCAACTATTGTCAACATGGTAAGATAGACGAACAATATAGGATGTCATTTAAGTTCTATTGGTAAATAACTGAGCTACTACGCGCGCTCTCATTGGTCAATAGGTGTGGTTAGATGAGAGTATGTAAACATAGGCTCGATTACCAGCCGCTGTTCGGGAAAGGAGCCCGCTCTCCTCCCCCGAACGTAGACCGGACACGAGAGAGCGGCGGAAATCAAGCCTAATGTAAACACGGTTGTGACGTTTTAGATTCGCGCGTATTTTTGAGAATTTTTTTATAAAAGCAATTGAGCACCTTTCCCATGTTTACGTAGCCTCATCTAAATACTCGGGGGAGCTGGGAGAATTCTCGAAAGTTATGCAAACCCGAGACGTATTCGAGGGTTTGCATAACTGTCTCGAACTCTCCCAACCCTCCTCGTGCTTAATTAGATGAGGCTATGTTAACATGGAAAAAGTGTTCTTCGCTTAATTATATGTATAGAAGCCACGAGAATGACAAATTAACTTTTGCTTGAAATTAATAAATTAATACGTGGCGCTAGTGATACTGGTTAAAGCAACATGTTAAAAATGTATGAAATGTATAGCACGGGTTGTTTTAATCCCTTTAGGCTCATGGAATTCTGGCAGATGCTTCTATTGGTGCAAATATCAGGTACATGATACACAAACTCTTGATCTTGGAGCAAGACATGGTAAGCTGCTAAGTCCAAGTTGAAGTCTACAAGGGGTCGTTTCATTGCGTTATTCTCTTGTTAGCAGCATAAATAAAATTCTTTATCGCTTAGCTCAGATCATACTACGGAAATCTGTGGAGCCATTCCGCTCCTCTGATAGCTGGAGCTTAACTATCATTTTTTTTTTTATGACATTTGATCCTCAGCTGCAGCAAGACCCCTTGAGAGGGAGGGAGTACATCCGTTAAGTTTGGATAGGGGTGTGCTGCGAAGGGTCTTTAACTCTGACACTAAAGCAAACGAAAATTGATACTCTATTTAAGGATCAAGAACATCTAAAAACCCTACCCTATCCCACGGCACATACCTATATAGCCCATATATGGGAGTACCCCCACCAAAGAGTAAGTCATAACGTAATTTTTTCTGTTTTGCATTTTCACACAGAGAGGCCTTGTGATCAGCCCGCATGCAGCCAGTACTCTGACAAGTTTCTGTAAATGGACAACAGGACAAAACATACAAGATGACAAGAATCCCCTTCACTTTGACCATGCAGCTCTCATCTCTAAGTAAGATATCTAAAGTCTGAATACGAGCCAAGTGGCCCATCAGGCCGGAGCTTGTCCAGGTTTCTGTAGCATTGAGCGACTAGTAATATTTCTACCCCCTAGATGGAATGGTAGTCCATCGCGGGGCTACTCCCAGCATTAAATTCGCCAGTACCCATTGGTGCACGTGGGTGGAGAAAGGTACTGTGAGGGTAAAGCATCTGGCCCAAGAACACAACACAATTTTCCCGGCCGGGGCTCGAACCCGGACCGGTCGATCCGGAGTCGAGAGCACTAACCATGAGGCCACCGCGCCTCAGTTATATGTGTGGTAAAGGTTAAAATTTAGACGGTTTGCAATCTGTTTTCCTCTTCAAAGGCACGAAGGTTGTGCGGGGCGAGATATCAAGACGAGAGGGGATTGGGACGAGGCAGCAGTGCGGCCCTAGTTAAGTTAAGACCGTTGACAACAGCCAACAGTCTAGATCTTTAGAATGAAGATGGGAGTTTTAAGAAAAAATTGAGCCTTTGATATCGCATAGGTTTTAGTGCATATTCCGGCAGATATAAATACAATTTTACATTTTTGCCAACCAAGTTAGTGAGCAAAATACTGCCATTACATAAAAATCAATATTGTTCTCCATCATCCCCGGGTTATTGGGTAGACTGTGCTTGAATAGAGACAAATGTTAGAAAGATGAGTATTGAAATATGAAAGAACTATATTGAACATGTCAGTGCTTCATCTTTACTCCCTTAAGTTTTGTTTTCCCGTCTGTCCCAATAGAAAATTCCTTTCTTTTCATTTTTCTTAAGCAACTTCAGTAATCCATACACGGTCTTTTACAGGTACAACTTTTGTAGAGACAAAAATGCAAGAGCGGAGGACTGCGGAGATATACTAGGTAAGTAGAACGCTGATTTGTGGGTACTCTGACGTAAAAAGTGAAGGTCTCGGCCTCGAATAGACGTCAGAGGCTTAGCTACCATATACTCAATTGGTAAAGGTAGAAAACAAAATAAATCTTGGAATTTGCAAATTTTCTTTGGCCATAGTTCGTTTAATTAGAGAGCCAGTTGACGAGCTAGAGGAGATTTTGGAATGGCGTTACAACTGGTAAGGCCATCATAGATTTTGCAAACGCTGGGCGAGGCAGGTGTTGGTCTCACTCTCATTCTCCTTTTTTTTAAAAAATATCGTTTGTATGGCTTCGAATAGACAGCTGATGGTCATCTGGATGAAGCCTTCTGTTTAAAATCGTTTAAAACCTATGGTTTCCTGTTAGTCTTCTTATAGCGGCCTATGGAACTGACTCGATGCTACAATTCTGGCCTTTTATTATATCAATAGCAAAATTACTTCATTATGATTGGCTGAGAGCAGGCCAATTTTTCGTTAATTCATAATTTGTACTGCAGTGCAAATTAACGCGCCCACATTCACAATTTTCTCAGTCATATAATAAATAAGTAATCGTATGAAAGCTCGAGCAATTAAGGATTTACACTACTCGTGATATTTGACAATTCTTTCAAATTAAACTCGCCTACAGGCTCGTGAAATTTTAAGAGAATTTTTCAAATATCACTCGCATTCATACGATTACCTATACTTATAACCACACAACAATTGCTTCACTTATCGTTTTCGCGGTTTTAGGGCTCGCAGACTTGAAGGGAATGTGTAAACAGGACACAAGTTGTACTCTGAACAAAGACACTGGATTGGGAACTGCGTTCACACTAGCTCATGAAACAGCTCATAAGTGAGTCACAATTCTCCAGATCAAGTGCTGTTTTATTTCTCACTAATTTTCAGACACACTCAATCAGTCAGTCAATCAGTCAATCAGTCAGTCAATCAGTCAATCAGTCAGTCAATCAGTCAATCAGTCAATCAGACAATCAGTCAATCAGGCAATCAGGCGATCAGGCGATCAGGCAATCAGACAATCAGTCAATCAGTCAATCAGTCAATCAGTCAATCAGTCAATCAGTCAATCAGTCCATCAGTCAATCAGTCAATCATTCCGTAGTAATCTGTTAAATCTTTATTGTTCGTTATTAGTTTGGGCGCTGAACACGATGGAGAAAGCAACAGATGTAACGATGGTGTTTACATCATGGCAACCAGAGCAAGTGGTAAGCTGACAGCGTTTGATTGGTCACCATGCAGCAGGAATTATGTGACAAAGTTTCTGCAGTAAGTTTACATTGACTGAACAATTTTATAACGTAATGACAGATCATATTTACTCTTTTACAACATACTTAAAAACAAACACAAAGAACGATTGGATTTTGATTAGTTTACGTGAAGCGCAGCTTTCTTAATTAATTTTTACTTTACCAAGTTCAAGAGTACTTAGATTTCGGTGAAGTATTTCGTTTTGAAAGAATATGGCTTCATGTTCTGAGGTAGCCAAGATGAAGGATGAATATATAGAAAAGAAAAAGAAAAACGAAGGCTAAATGCGGAACGCAGAGTTAAGGTTTTTCGTTAAAATTTGGAGTGATCCTCTTCCTTTTAGCTTAGTTTTTCTTCCGCTTTTTACAGACATTGCCCGAAAAGAAGAGAAGAGTACGAAAAAAATTGTAATTTAAGAATTACAATCTATACTGATAAATTTTCTAAGTAAACACTATAAACCTCTAAAATTACTGTTAAACAGTTACAGTCTATTGCTTCTAACCCAGAAATTTACCTTTAAAACTAGCTTAAACTTACTCGATTGAATTAAGAGAAGTCCCCAGCTCGCCACAATTTATCACATTCTTTTAGGGTCGTTTTTAGAACTAAAAGTGCTTATATTTGCTTTCTCTCAGAACTAAACAGTCTGGATGTCTTAATGACAATGCAGAGAACAAAGTCGCTATACCGAAAGGCTTACCGGGACAGCTTTATGATGGAAACGATCAGTGTGTGCGCATGTTCGGTGCTGGATCACGTGTCTGTGATATCCCGGATTTAAAGGAGGTAAAGTCTTGGTTGTGAAATACCGGGGAACTTCGGATAGAAATACGAGTACGAAACTCAGTGCGATTATGACTCCGAGTTGCAATCCACTTACCTTTCCAGGAAAGCCGCCAAACAAAAGATTTAACAAGCAGCAAAGCAGCTTTGCATGGGTGTTATAAACCTTGGATGTTTGCTCATCCGTCCGTTAAAAAACAACAACGTGAAACAACCACTAAATTTAACGTAGACTGAATAAAGGGATCTAGGAAGGTGAATTTTTCATGTTTCCATCTTAGATTTAAACATATTTTCACATTTTACCCAAAGTACTGGAGAAGACTTTAAGATGTTACAGGCTTCACCCTGTTGATCAGTTATGATATGAGTCGGTAACGAAATTAAGCCTTGCCTTTCTTTCAACAGAAAATGTGCGTCAACTTACATTGTGAAAAGCCTGATGGTTACTGCTCCTCGAACGACGAGCCGGCTGCTGATGGAACAAAATGTGGCAACAGGAAGGTACGAAAAAAACCTGCACCTCCCCCAAAAGATTCATTCATTAACGTGATTCTCACTTATCTCACAACACAAACAAGGTTCTGAGGCAGGCCTCATTCAAATTAACAATCTAAACTTTTTCGGTAGCTAGGACCTGAGAAATAAATGTTTGCGGTTATTCGCGAAGAAATAGCTTAAAACTGATAACGCAACTCAGCTCTTATAATAAATACCAGCAGATGGATGGCACAGAGAGAGATGAAGAGAAAGACAGTGTTTAATCTAATTAGTATGTTAATTATTCTTAGAGGTTATTAAATGCTATGTTTTAAATAACTTATTCATGGTTTTCACCAGTGGTGTCGTCGTGGTCGTTGTGTTCCTGTTGGAAGCAAGGGATACCAGGACGTGGATGGAAACTGGGGGGCCTGGAAACCTTGGAGCTCGTGCTATCCTCGCTGTGGGAAAGGGCTTAGTGTGAGAGTACGCGAGTGCGACAATCCTGCGTGAGTGATATATAGCTACAGTATATTAATATGAAATATGATACATGTATCTAAGGGATAAGTACAGATTTGGCAAACATATATCAATGAAGAACTCGAAGATTTTCCTGTTTTTATTTTTGAGATTCTTCGTTACTCTTAATGGTCATGTGGGTATGGCGCCACATACAAAATTGCCGCTTAGCAACGATACTGACGAAAATCGCGGGCTCACTAAATTGCCACCAAAGATGCAGACTTGTAAGATGTGTCAGATGGTTTTCTACTAGGTTAGCATTCCAGCAACGAGGCTGGAACAAAGAAGAACAATTTTCTCCCGTTTCGTTATGTCGTTCTTTTCCCCATCCTTAAATGTTTTTCATCGTTAAATTTTCCTACTTAGTTTTATCCTACTTACCATTCCCCCTAATGTTGTAGAAAAGGCTGTTTAACATGAATAATACAATAGCTTGAAATAAATTCCTTTTATAAATTATTTTCAGTCCCAAGGCAAGAGGAAAACTATGCGAAGGGAAAGGAGCAGAATACAAATTATGTAACAATGCGGTAATTACATGTATTGCAACTTTATTTGTCGCATTTAACTTCAGTTGTTTGCTAAAAGAGCTAGATAGAAACAGACTGGCAATGATTTAAATGAGAGACAGGCGGGTACAACAGTTGAAATAGAAAAGAATACGTGAAGTTACTGCGAACCAAATACACAACATAAAAGTACGCAAGAGCGGAATTCGCTCTTTTGGGTCTCTCTTTTAATCAGGCGTGACAATGAATTGAGCGGGTAATCAAAATGACAAAAAAAAACCAAAAAAAAAATGGCAGTGAAAATAATACACCAGTGAGGTTTTCATTAACGAAGAACTCGATGAAATGACCTCTCGATAGTTCCTTTTGGATTTCTGTGGTGCTGCTAAGAGGAGAAATATATTAATATTTTGCCTAAGGATCGTAAGTGATTTGTTAAGTGACCGGTTAGACTAATATCAGCTGGATTTCTGTTGCAGAAATGTCAACCAAATGAACATCCAAGGATGAAACAGTGTAAAGACAAAAGAAACGTTCAGTTTGGAGGAGGAGTGACATATAACTGGATTTACGATCCATATTACTCATCAGGTTGACAAATAAATCACTAACCAGTGTATATAGCGCAGTTTGTTTTGCCAACACTTAGTCACTAGTCTCAGTAGTGATTTCCCCAGTAGATAGCGTTATCCGTCCTTTAAGCTGCTGGCGTCAGGTTTTTACGTAGACTTTTTCAAAGAATCAAAAATGGTTTTTGGGATCTCAAACATGGTTAATAAAGGAGTAGCGGTGTCCAATGAGTCCTAGACCTCAGTCCGAGCGAGGACCGAGGTGCCTCACTTGACCTGAGCTACTTATGGTTTACTGTGCTGGTGTCTCTTCCAAGCGAATCTCACCCATTTTCCTTCCTTAAAAGCCATTTGAAAAGTGCGATACCATTTTCTAGTTCGGCTGGTGGCCTGATCGGATAGAAATACGTACAACTTTTTCAAGTCCTCAAACTATACAATCTGGAACCTAAGTTTTTATATTAATTTTCATATCTTGAATCGGGAGAGGTGAGTTACTTTTGGGTGACAGATTTGGCTAATAATTGCTTTCCTTACTGTTACCAAAAAAAAAAAACGCCCACACATATATTATCTTTTTAAAATGATATACGTACACTACTTATTTCTGGACGCTGTTTTTAGGAAAAGCTAAGTGCGTCCTGAACTGTGCTACAACCGAAGGAGACACCACAACCTTTGGAAACGTTAAAGATGGAACTCCATGCACTGACAAGCCAAACAGTGGCCTCTGCATTAACGGACAGTGTGAGGTAAATATTCTAACTTGGAGCGCAAAAAAAAAAAGCCTACAAGAAGGTCGCTTGTCTGAAGGTTTCCTCGCGCAACTTCTGGGCTAAGATTGAGTTTACTCGAAGGCAAAACAAAAAGCTACTGCCGACTAGCGCTCAAAATGTAACATTTTTGCCAACCGTGGAATGTGGACAAGTGTTTGTCATTTAGTTTGTCTCTGATTTGCCGAGTACTGCTTGGTGTTGATTCGTCAAGCACAGTTATCAACCAATCCGATCTCTGTAAAGTAACGTCATCAGAATGGGCCTGTTTGCGCATTTCCGCTTGAGTCGTTTCTTTTGTGAAGAGAGGAAAGAATTGAGCGAGGGAGAAGAAGGTCAATTTACTCTGGCAACAATAACGGTTATGGAATTTGTCTCTAGCAGATACAGTTCAGTAGTTTCCTTTATGATAAAAATGGGTACAAGAGTTGTAACACTCGAGAACAATACACTCTAACCGCATTGTGAATAGAACACATCGCTTACACCACTTGTTTACAGCTGTTTCAACAAAGGTTGTCCCACAAAATTCAAGCATACGCCACAGTGCTGATTGACCGTGATAGTTTATCGTTGCTTGATTTCGGTTCACGTTGTTTCAGCAAGAAGGAAAGGGAAGCATGAGTACACGTTTGTGTTGTTTCTTTCTATCACGCTGAAACACCTTGCAGCTTCAATCAGACACCTTAGGCCACCAGTACCCATAATACCTTTTGACATTGTCGCGTACGCTTATACGCTTTTGTGGAACAACCTTTCTCAAAACAGCTGTATATTTCATACATGCATAAACTTTATTTAACCACGGTAGAAACAACAGTTATATTACAAGATTAAGATAGGAAAAAAAATTAAAAAATCTGACTGACATGTTTGCCGTGTGGGAGTACGAGGAGGACATTAGGCGATTGATCTCATTTTTAAAGTTAATAAAAGATCTAGTGGCTCTGAACTTAGACGCAATACTATTCCACAAATGTTCCTTACTGTAGCAAAAACTAGGTTTTAAAAAATAACAGAGTTACCATGAACCAAACATGCGAAAAAGAACGCACTGAAGAAATATACTCTTTTAATATTGCGAGACAATGAATAAGCCAGTGGGACAAGCAAAATAAAAATCTGAAGTAAAACTTATACCTTACTGAGACGTGTTTTGAGAGAAAGGAAGAATTGTTTAGGCAGCGATAACAATTGTGTATATTTGTTCATACAGACTGTTGGATGCGATGGCGCAATCGCTTCAAGGGCAAAAACAGACCGCTGTGGAGTATGTAACGGAGACGGCTCAAGTTGTTCAGGGGGCGGTAACCAGGGCAACAGACCAAAACCAGGCAAACGACCCAAACCAGGCAAAAAGCCGAAACCGACCAAACCACCAACGACTAGCGGTCAACTAAAGAAGTTTACGTACGACGAAACACCCGGGTCAGGAGGTAACTAACTGAGAATCATCATCAAAGCTTTCATTTCATATTTGTTTACTTGCTTTTTTAAATAAGTTTTTAATAGAAGTTGTAACAATAGTTAATCGAGATTATCAGTTAGGTTCTTAGGTTCCCTGCAGTTTATAGTTAATAGCTTTTAATTACATCATGAAGTGTCCCAAATTACTAGAGGGGTGTTTTTCTTCACGGCCGATGAAGAAAAACCCTCTCCTAAGCGTTGTTAAATGTCAACTCGTGCTACCTCAGTTCATGTTGTGTCCTGTTAAAACAAAACCCGTAGAATTTTCATCAGGTAACAGAAACGTACTAACGTCTTCAAATAAAAAAAATGAAAACTTTGCATCATTTTTAACGGAAGCGTAATAAAAGGAACACGATTCTTCCAATTTAAATTGACAACTCGACAAGCGCACTGAGATATTGTAACAGGAGACTAACGTAACTGCGTATTAAAGAAAAACAGTTTACGGTATCTGACAAGCTTTCCTGTCAGGGAAAGTAACGAGGGTCGTTACTTTCGGAAGTTTACGGTATTGCTTGACCACTAAGCCTCCGAAGAGTACTCGTTCTCTTAATACTTCCAGCGATTGAGAGTTGAACCCTCTTACGTGTACTGATCATTTTTCCGTTTTAGAGTACGATGTGGTAATCGGTACTATTCCAGCTGGAGCACGAAATATCATGATCGAAGAAGCGACTGCTTCCGAAAACAATTTGTGTAAGTACCAACACAGGCCAAGCCCAGAGTCCACATTTAAAAGCCCATAGAAACTTCCCGGGCGGTATTCAAGAAAAATTTTTTTTAAGGGGAGGCTCCGGCCCGAGGTTCAGCTCCTTACCCTTTTATACACCATTTTGACAGCACAAAGGTACACCTATCGTATAGCTTTTATTGAAAGAGGTACTCTGTAATAAGAACACTGGAACTGCTGTGACCGGCCCGTCTCATGACTAAATCTCCCAAAAAGGAAGTCTTCTACCCCAGGACAGAAAGGAACAGTAATCAGTCTAATGCCCTTGTATAAACGTATAATATGGATTTTCTTCCAATTTTCTTTCAAAGTTTTTGACCTTAATTTACTAAAAAAAAAAACTTTCGCGCTTTTCGAGGGCCTTTCATTCGTCAATAGTAATTAATCCTGTTTAGCTAACCATTGGAAATCATGTTGCAACTTTGAGCAACTGTCAGTATGCTAAAGAGCTGATGGTATATTTGGTCTTGTTTCAGTTTTGGAGGATGCAGGTTACAATTATATTATTAACTATGATACATACCGCGCTAATTTTGGGCCAAAGGAGTTCAAAGGGGCTGGAACTATGTTCCGGTTCACGAAACGAAACCAGAAAGAAACTATCACTGCTCAAGGACCTCTTAAAAAGAGTGTAACATTACTGGTGAGTACCAAGTGAAACTTAATTAATTAGAAGCAGGGAGGCGTCGTAACTGATTCATTAAAGACATTTGAATTTACTACTATGAAGAAAGTCGCATCTTTCCTATCTATGCCATTTTAAAATTGGCCAAGTGACGACGTCATAAACCTAACGGAATTTTGATCAAATATGGTCAAAAGAGATATCTCAATCAATTTGTAATTCAGCCAAATTTCTCCGGGTGTTTTTACGAGGAAACCAAAACATTGGCCTGATCGCATGATATCAACCCTAACAGGTTTGTCACTATGTTAATGGGAATGATAAATTAAAGAAGTGAATTGTGAAAAGGAAAAAAAAGTAAATTGCAAGCGTAAATGCTGCATAAAAAGGAATTCCGCTCTTCCTTCATTATTTATTTCGTCGCAACCTCATTAAGTGACATTTTGAACTATTGGCTAGTGTGCTATACTCCTGATTACGAAGCTAGAAAAACACCAAATAGAGCGCGTAAATTTAAAATGAAATAACGATGCTTGAAAGATTGGGAACAATGAGAGACAACAGTTTGGAAGGTTTGGGTTAAACTATTCAAAATACACTATATTCGTCATGTTTCTCTTTTAATACAAGTTTAGCCTAAATTAAACTTGTCTTCAAAGCTCTGGTGTGAAGAGGGTTCAATTTTGTCTCGGTAGTACGAAGTGTACGATTATTGGGATAAATACAAAGTGAATTACCAATATGTCAAGCCTGGTGCCCAGTCCACGAGGAGTTTCAGTATCGAAAGCGACTTCCCAGATCTCTTCCGTGAAATATACAAAGTGAACAAAGAACTTAGAGAGGCTGAGGGACAAAGTGAAGTTGAAGAAAGGCCGAAAATGAAATGGATTATGTCGTCGCAAGGATGTTCAGTAACATGTGGCGGAGGTAAGCCAAGCCATTGTAGGCTCTCGTAAATTGCGCGAAATCACTTATATTCGCTATTGACTGAAGGAATGTGCTTTAATTTGGCTGTTTTATAAAGCTATACCACAAAATGTCGATAGTGAACCTTGGGCGTAACTTTGTTCAGAAGACTTTTTTGGTGGTTCTGATGGGGGGCTAAAACTATTGGAATAAATTTTGCATTTCAAGAACGTTTGGGCTCAAGTTTGGAAGGGATGCCATGTCGGAAATTGTCAGGTGCACACAATCTTACTACTGGGTAAAATGCTCTAAACATAACTATATGAAGTGCAAACACGTTCTACACCCTAAGTCTCTGAGAATACTCTTAAGACGTCAGACACATAACAAGCTCTACAGTAATAGACTAATAACGGGGAGAAGTTACATCTTCCTTGAATAGCTATATCTAAATATTAGCCTATAGGATTGTATTTGAAAGGTCTTAATCGAGTGGAATAGATTTGCATCTTTGATCTGCCAGGGCCTGGGGCTTATTCAGGAGATGCAAGCGATGTTTAACTCTAAAATCAATTGCTCATGATTTAAAAAACAATTTCAAAGGAATTTGTTACAAATATCCTCTGTCTGTTCATATTTCCAGGAATTGAAGTTATTAGCGCGGTATGTGTTCGTGAGGACGATCAATCAGCCGTCGGAGATCAGTTCTGCGAAGAGAAGAGGCCTGAAGATATAACAAAGGAATGCAATACCCAGACATGCCCTGCGAGGTGAGACTACAGGCGTTTCATATCGGGTGAAGGCCAGGAGTTATTAACTGAAGTATCATTGATACCGACCTTTCTCTAACCAAGCGCAGGCGCAATACAAGGGAAAATTGGCCCGAGGTCTGTGTAAAAAACATCCGAGGGCCAATATTCCCCAGCACGGTTCGAACAAGCTAGGTTAAAAAGTAGTTTATTATATGGCAATCGAAAACAAAAAAATACACGGCTTATGACCATTTCCATGGAAAACGTCTGTATGGTAAAATCTCGACTAAGAAAGAACCAATCAGATTAACGCTCGGATTAACCTCCAGACAACATTGCCATGTAATAAATGTCAATATTTTCGCTAGCAATTTTAAGCTGTGGAAGACTTTGTAAATCTAAGAGGAGTCGCAAATGATTGCTTCAGTGATCTTTCTCCAGAGGAAGCGAGCAAAAAAGGCAGGATCAGTAGGTTTTCGCCCAATTCGTTAATTGTTACGACAGGATTCATGTATCTCGATTGTCTTTCCAGGTGGGAAATTGGTGAATGGACCGATTGCACGAAAAGTTGCAATGATGGCGAGCGCGGCGTCAGATCTCGTGAGGTGTTCTGCGTGGAAGATTCTCAGGGCGTTGAGTTAGAAGTCGAAGACAGCAAATGCAAGGAACCCAGACCAACTAGCCAAGAGGCGTGTGGGAAACAGCCATGCCCCGCAGAGTGGTACACGGAGCATGCTGGCCAGGTAAGCTATCTTTATTAGATTATGATGATGCTTATTTTTAAAACCTCTCGGTTAAAACGTTTTAGACTCGTCACTGGATAGCATCTGCGATACAGAAAGGACTCAAGTTTGAAATTTGTTTTGAAAGTTATCCTGTCGCTTCTTTGGTTTGGCATTTACTGCTCTCTATATTTCTTCATCACTTCATCGCTTCATAACGTCACTTTTCTTCCTGACTGGAAAGCTAACCACGACACTGATTAACACTTCTGTTTTGTTTTTACGCCATGCTTGTACATAGTGTTCAACTTCTTGCGGCCCGGGTGTTCAACCTCTGACGGTAGAGTGTATAAGAATAAACTCATCTGGGGAGACTGTGACTGTGGATGAAAAAGAATGTACGGACATTAAGCCACCGACTCGTGTGGCGTGTAACGTGGAGAATCCTTGTAATGACCAGTAGAAAGCTGAGGAACAAGGTAAATCTTCTTCACCATGTATGTAGATACTAAATTTCTTAATTAAAATTATTTAGTTGATTGTACGTGTCAGACATTACTGATAAGTTATTATCTTACTCGATATTGTGATAAACGTATGACCTATTTCTGCCATAAATCTACTTTTTTAGGCATATCATTTATTATTATTTTTATACGAAATACTCAATGGATCGAAGTTAATACTTTTTTTCCTGCCTCTTCAGGAGAGATCAGCTTTTTGTCCATCAAAAACTGATTACTGTGAAACAAGCATACCACAATAAACGAAGGGTCGACTCGTTAATAAGCCAGTTCGCAACAACAAACTCACAACTAGTCGATTTGCTTTTACCATTCCCTCGTTTGTTTATTTATTTATTTATTTTTTAACAGAGGTTGAATGTCTGAATGGAGATGGAAGCAGTCCATAGGATGACCACTCTTTGAAGATGACCTTCACTGAAATATTCCAGTTACACTGTTTTTACATAGTGCATGCTGAATTTTTGGTCCAAAACTTTTTACAGCTTTTCTAATCTTTCTGTAATTTATAGTCTTCGTTGTTTTATCCGTTTTGTAAAAACCTTGAAGTTATGATACAATCAATAAGCACTTATTGTTAAAGCTAAAATCAAGGGTGTCGTTAACGGATTATGCTGTTGCTACTGTAACCTTTTCGTAGTCACGAAAATGAACATAACTTGTTTACTATACCTGGGCAGTTGTTCGATATCATTATTATGGAGGAAGTAGCATCAAAGAGGTGCTAAAAATGCTGGAAACCGTTGTGAGCCACCTTAACGTTTTTGTAGAGAGAGAAAGGTCAACGTTATGACTTTGTAATAAGTAATAATACCTGTATAAAAAGACAACCAGTTTTTATCAAATAACTGAGCCACTACGAGCTCTCTCATTGATCGATGGGTGTGTTTAGATGAGAATGTGTAAACACGGTTGTGACGTTTTAGATTCGCGCGTATTTTTGATAATTATTTTATAGAAGCAACAGAGCACTTTTTCCATGTTTACATAGCCTCATCTAAACACTCGGAGGGTTAGGAGAATTCTCGAAAGTTATGCAAATCCTTGACTACGTCTCGGGTTTGCATAACTGTCTAGAATTTTCCCAACCCTCCTCTTGTTTAGAGGAGGCTATATAAACACGGAAAAAGTGCTCTGTTGCTTAAATATTGCCAGTAATGGACAAATTTTGTAATATTTGTACAGTGTAATAGAAAAGTAGCTTACAGGGGCTAACGCTCTTTCACAGATAACGAAAAAAGACAGCCAACAGCGGAAAATAGTCCGCTGGTTAGTGTTGATGCCAGAAATAATGTTATTTCAATAAAAGCGTTGTTACTTTGCAATGTCAGAAGTTCCCCTCGTGTTTGCTGTGTTCTGTTTCCATTCATACGGAAATGTTTCCCCCTACAGGTTCATTTTCATGCAAATCAGGGTTTCGCACGGGGACTCGTTTTGAAACAGAGACACAAGGTAACTCGGAAATGGCCCATTTTGAAGAGTGTTAAAAACAATTTTCTGCTCACAGTGTATTAGTATTGATGTTTCGAAATATGTTTTCTAGTTGACGTTGCGTTTTCTTGCTGTATTGATATCACAGGGTATCACCAGATCATTTAATGAAAAATGCGCCACAATATATAATCATGAGACCGAAAGTAAATGAAATGCAACATTGCTAATACACTAAAACTTACAATTCATCGTTTAATAGGAGAAATTGAACGTTTGTAAATTTTGGGAATTTAACGGTGATTTGAAAAATATTCAGTCAGGTTTCCACACTGTGGGAAACAAGTCAGGTATTGCCCGGAAACAAAGAGACACATGTGGAAGAAAACGTCTGGCCGACCAACGCTTTTTGTCAGTTTGTTTCCTTCCACCCGGCGCGCGCCAGTTCATTAATTTCACTTTGATTCTCCGCGACTTAAAAGGTTAGAACTTGGAAGCGATTAAGGTGGTCACGTTTCTTGACTACACAGATAACCTTTCATAGTGCTTGACTTAAATCAATTTTATTACAGCCAGTCTGGCTTCAAATTCAGCTACACTAAATCTAAATTGACGGGCTTTCCCGATTAAAAAACCTTCATATTTAAATCTGAATTAGAGCCCAATATTTACAACAGTTTCTATTTCAGCTTTGCCCCTTTACTTCTTTTGTTAGTTCCTGCTTCAAACAGCTGAGATAGTTTTCATGATTCCGTGACACAGAGTAATTAGGCACAAATTTCCCGTTAATGGAAAATCGTTTTTAAGCTTCCTTTTCGCGCGGCGGTTCACAGCAGGCCTGCGGCAGGAACGTGACTCACCAGCGTAAATCTTCTGTAAAGCGCGTCGGCGAGTTGTGTTCAGGTTTCAGGGCATGCAGTGATTCTAAAAGCTGAATAACAGCATAGAGCACGTACAAAAACATGATTCTTTGAAAACAACGTGGCTGCTGTACTCGGATTCAGTTTGCACTTGATAATATCGATAACTGACTAAACTATTTACCATTACAGGAGTAGTTAAATTGAAAAACAAATAAATGTCGCCGAAATCGACCGAAAGGAATGAAAAATCCTGAATGACAGTCGTCTGCGAGCATCTAAAGATTTCAAAGAAACGAGCATTTTCTCTACCAGGTAAGCCGACGATCTTCGCTTGGGAAGAAAAGATTTGGTGTTTCCAGTGGCTACATTGTTTTAAGAAAATCCTTATAATTAAATATCACTGCTTTTATTTCAAAAAATCACGATTTTTCTTTAGTCAAATACAATCTGATGATATTACACTGATCAAGCCATTTAACACTTCGAGAGTGATAAGATATTTTAGCAAGTATATTTAGCGGAGAAAGACATTTCTAACGGCTACAGGCAAAATCTAGCCGCTATTCATAGCTTTCGTCGTGTATTTTTGGATAATTTTTTTTAAGGATTCGCCCACGCTTGCAAAGCTGGTTTTCTATTTAAGTCAAATAAAACTAACGTAGGAGAAGGTGGGAGAAAAAATTTAAGCTTTGAACTACTTAGGAGTACTGTGATGCTTAACGTGTTATCGGAAATGACACGCCTTTGAGCAATCTTTAGATCAAATGGATTCGGGTGATATTGACTTATCTCGTGACTTCGGAGTCTTACACAGGATATATCAATCTATTGATGTGAAATATGACGGATATGCTGTAACTTATAGCTTGAACGTCTCACGTATGTATCGAAAAACATAACGTTCAAGTAGCTTGGGGTAGATACGTAAATTATACCCAGTAATTAAAAATCAATATCGTCTGTGTACGTAAGAGCTCAATATCATTTCCTTAACGGAAACTAAGCATGTTATCGGCACATTCGCGGTCATTAAGACAAAGTTGATCGACACTTTACTAAAAAAGTAACTTTACTACATGCATTTTGAGAGTATGAATATAAAGGTGATATTTTTCCTTGAATTAAATGAAAAAGAGCAATGTGTTTTGAAAATAACCTTAAATCCCTTTGACCTTTCATTTCCATTTCATACATCTAAATCGCAAACACTTCACATGTGAGTCGAAATAATTTTGAATTTTCCAGTAAGACCTGTCATTAATACAAGAATTTAACTCGATGCGTCCAGTCCATGGCCATAAAAAATTCGTCGGTAAAATCAAGGACTTATCGATAAATCTCCTCTTTGTGTGTTTAGTCGTCGTTGAGTGCCTCAGGCGCCGTGGAGACGGCAAAAGAAATTAATCAGTGAATCAGCGGTTGCGAGACTTAGTATGTTTACTTATGCATTTGCAGCAAAATGGCGTTCTGTGTTCTTTTCTAATCGTTATAAACCACACAGTAAATAACAATTAAATATTTGATTAGTTTTAATGCAAGTAAACAATACGACGTAAAAATTCATCCAGGCCATCGGTTGAAAACGCGAGTTTTACACCCAACAAAACAATCAAGCGTGTTCCTGCAGCATGACGCTTGATGAGCGTATGCGTTCGTTTAAACGTTTTTTGTTCATTTTCATACATTCTCGTTTAGTAATTGTTAGTTACTAACGATATTTCATCGTTTAGCCGGTTCATCCAGCATAATGTAAATGAGAATGTTTTTAAGCAGACGAAATGGCAATGGACAAAGTGGCTTAGAAGGGCGTTAACGAACTTTTAGGGAGTTAACCCTGCGAGAAAGAAACAAGTTCCCGACTTTTCGCTTTGAAATTGTCATTAGATGAACTTCGATATGATTTTACAGAGAAAACATCATATGGTGATTTGACAAAGGACGTTTTCTTTTCAGAAAAGAATCACCTAAATTAACCCCGTAATAATCAGAACAGATATGAAATCGCGTATGAATCTTGCTTTGTACTAAAATCCATACTCTTCGGGTTTTACTGAAGGTATTTTTTAATGTAAATTCGAAAAATTTATATCCATGAAACCACCTCAGCATATAATAAAGAAGTTCAGCATATTGGTTTATTACTCTGGTGGTTATCGCATTCGATTGATAATTATCAAAAGGCAGAAAACCGTCAATAGAATAACAGTTTAAAAAGTAGTTTTGATTGAATCAGGTTCCCTTGTTGTCTTCTTTTTTAGTAGAGAAAAATATTTTTACCTATCTTATATCAATAAACTAGACTGAACTAAAGTGATTGTTCTTGGGAATTTGAATGCAGTGTCGGGAATTTTAGAAATTAAAAATGTTTCGTGAGAGGACACTAAGAAAAGTCAAATGTAACAACTTTCTTGACGGGCGGTGAAATCAAAGACTCGTTCGTGTGGCGAACAATTCGAAAACGCATAAGCTGCAATTAAGGATCTGTGAATCAGTTAGCCAGAAATAAATTAGTTTTGTCAACAAAGGCACTTTGCCATCTCAAGATGGACTTATTGGTAAGATGGCTTGGCGTGGTTGCGGTTTACCTGAGTATTCCGAAACCGGCGGGAGAGCTTTCAATCCCTCTTTGTGTTATTACAGCGTTTATGCTCTTATAAAAAGTGGGGGTGTTAAAATATTTTAAAATAGTTCCAACTTAGTGTGCCGTTTTCAGTGAGAGGGGGTACGCGGTGAATTGTTCTTGTATTTTTTTTATTTTTTTATTTTTTTTATCATGTTGCACAAGAACTGAAGAAAGATGTTATCAAGTTTAAAGTGGCAGATTGAGAGGAGCCAACTCTTTGAGAATTCTTAAAAGGCAGGACGGCATCAGTTTTCTAATTGCATTCGTTGTTTATCTAGATCGTTAATGGCGAAAACTTGAGAGGAACCGACCGAGACAAAATCATTGAGTAGCTGCGAGCAATACTCCATCAATACCGAATAAAAACATCAAAACAGTAGCAAACATCGCGCTCATTTGAAAGTCTAATGAGCTCAGGAAACGCACAGATACTCGGCGAGCAGCGATCCTGCGATTACATTGAACGGGTCGTCAGCCGGAGCATTGCTCGTGCCTTGAGGCAGAATGTTATTACGGTTTATCGCAGTGTACTTTTTTCTTTTTATTCTTCCGCGGGCTGGAGCAAATTCATACGAGGTAAGAAAATTTGCATGCTTGAAAAAATCTTAGCTGGGAGACAAACTAATCAATTTTCACACTCATCCAATGCTAAAAAGTTTTACTTATCTTCTGTTGTTCTGTTTTGAATTGAGGATGTGCACAATTTACTAACACCGCAAGAGAGGGAGAAGATTTTCGGTGAACCATTCCCTCAAGATGGTAAGCAGCGTGAGAATATTCGATGTAGCCAAGTTAGTTGTGTCTTGCACCTGAATGTAAAACAGAGAGGAGTGGCAATTTACAATTTAAAATCCGATCATAGTATTTATGGGTAGCTAACTCCCCGAGTTTTGCCTAACAAGACGAAATAAAATTAAAATAAACACAGTATTTTGCCAACTTTAGGAATCTAGCTTAACCTTTTCAACAGCATATCCAGCATCTGTTTGGCAAAAGAAAAATATTGGAAAGGAATTCGAGGAAGCTATGCTAAGTAAAGTCGCTGAACATATATCGCCGTATTTCGAACCAAAGAAAACTAATAAAACTCGTTGTAGCTTGCAATTTATTTCCGTTTCGGGTACCAAACTTTTATACAAATGCTTTGACTTTTTCACTCCGAAAAAAGTCAATACAGTTTAACAATATTACCGATTATGAAACTGATACTTACTTTAATATAGACGTATTTGGTTTATAACAATAAAAACTTATTTCCTCAATAAAAAATAGATCTTCGTCTAAAAGGACCTCGTGAAGGAAAAAAAAGAAATTTATAGTTGAGGTCAATTCAGTTTAATTACTGGATGGAAGAAAACATATGCTAAAAGCTAAGCGGCACCAAATAATCTAACCTCAATCTGAGACAAATAAAAAACTCTCATATTATTGAGGTCCCTTTTTATGAATGCACAGGTCCTGATGTGGAAGATCTGTTGGACCCTTTCAAAGTCTGTTCATTAGGACACTTGACCAATCTCACTGAGGAAAAGTTGGAAAAAGAACGATATTTCGGTTAATTCATGAGGCAATATACGCTCTAGGAAATTGTGATTTGAAACAAATTATAGCCACGCTGAAAGTTGAATTCCTTGAAATGTTAGTGCATAGACAGGTTTAGTCTAATTCGATCATGGCGGACAGGTGAAACTCTAGACAGAAGACCACCTTCTACCGTGAATTGAGGTCTAAGACGTGTAATGACAGCAACGAAATCAAATAGTTATTATGTTCGAGGCTTTGAAATTCCTCAGCAAAATTAATGCGGTCGCAAGCTTGTCATTTATTTTTGATCAAGACTCGGATTGCTCAAACTGAAAAATATCCAAAAACTAAAACTTATCGCAAAATTCAATGCAAGATGATTTAATAACACCTTTGATTTACGCCTCAGAATTAACACTTACTACACGCATTACAGAGAACCTGAAAAATTGAGCAGTACTAATAGTAGAGATTTATATAAACACTGATGGAAATCCAGTTTTAATACCGAGTCTATTATGACTTGTTATGCATTACTTACTTGATATGATCACAGAAATTCAAACAGGTTTGAAACAGGTTGATAGGCTGATGTTCCTGACGCCAGCGGGTCTTCTGATAATGTGTCGAGTCAATTTTGTTTGGGTTGTGTTTACCATGCTTCCCCAAACAACGCTAAACCATGACTAATAATATATTTTACGGTTTAAATTTTTATATATAGATCCGATGAGATGTTCTCCGTTTGGGTTCAATTAATTGACAAGCCTTCGCGCAGATACATAAAAAGGAATGTAAATAGATAAATTGTGAGAAATGTCGAATTGTCACCACAATTTAAACAGGCATGCAAATTTACACTTTCTTTTTTGAAATACTAGCATTGCTAGCTAGTTTACAGTAAAGACGACTGCTTTATCATTCATGCACAGCGAAAAAAGGTTATCATACAAGGATAAATATTATAATGGTCGTTTTCATCTTAGTCACAACAAGAATAATTACATTGTCATGAATTTATTCAAAAGATTAGCCGCTGTTAATTATAAAAGTGCGAAAATGTAAGCCCCATTAACAAATTTACCACTTATGGGCATGTTCCTTATCTAAACTCCTGGGAGAGGTAACATATTAAATGCACTTTGGATATATTATGATGTCATGTCATTGTGTACAGAATGTCAAAATGTGCCGAAAATGCACTCTCGCCTAAACGTTCTAGAGAAACTTTTACTCCGATGGGGCGAAATGAACTAGCGACTTGGGTGACAAGTCTATTAAATTTCTTACTTCAATTATTGTGTACAATACAGTTATACTTGGGGCGATAAATACAGATGGCCCTAGTGACCATAAAAAACATCGGGTTTTCACTCCCTTAATTAAAACCTGATAACATTTGTTTTCAAACTTCAATGAGTAAGTTTTGGAAAGGATTGCTTGAAATTGTTGGGAAGCGGAAGAGGGAAAAAAAATTAGCACTGTAAGGCAACATCGGTGGACTTTCTTCCATCGATATAGTTGATACATGTTAACAAACTACAACAGTAAATCGCAGAACTTGAAAAACATTGTTACATGGTATTGTGTTTGTATTAGAATAGGTAATCGACTGAATGCGAGCACAATTAAGGTTTTACACTACGGATGACGTCTAAAAATTCTCTCAAAATTGCAAGAACCTTTAGGTGATTGTAATTTTAAAGAATTGTCAAAATCGCAAGTAGTGTAAATCCTTAATTGCTCGAGCTTTCATACGATTAGTCATTTGTTATATGACTGAGTTGGTGACAAATTAAGCTTCATCGTGCCACATTGTATTAAAATGGCAGAAAACCAGAAGCATTTGCTAATGACGTACGGAGATATGTTCAGGTATAAACGACACCGCAAGATGAAAAACGTCAACTTTGAGATCCTGTGATATGTCTATAAACAGATTGTTATACCGCACTGGTTTATATTTAAGAATAATTTATCTCGGAGACTGAGCTGGTGCAATTTTAACAAGGGCCTTTCAATAACAATCGCGCATAATATCAGTTCCAGATTACCACGTGACGCATCCAGTTCAAGTAGACGAGCATGCCGCCTTTTTGACACGTGACCTGTCTAATGGTAATCATAGAAGACGCCGCGACGTAGCAAGTGCCATTAAAGAACCTGTTTTCTTCCACCTGTCTGCGTTTGGTCAGAATTTTCATTTAAATGTTACTCTTAATGACGAGCTACTCTCACCCAACTTTGTCATCGAGGTTCGCGGGAATCAAAGTTCTCGATTTCACTTCGACGTTGAACACTGTCATTACACTGGTCACGCGGTATCGTCAAAAGGACTGGGTACTAAAGTGGCGTTAAGTAATTGTGATGGGCTGGTAAGTAAAGCTTCTAGTTTTTGCATTCTTGCATTCTTACTTCTCCTGTTTTCTTTGATCAGTCCGGCGAAAGTTATCACATTTTGGCAGCTCGTCGAAAACAACATTGAGCACCTGTAGAAGTACCCCCATTTACTTTCACCTCAGGAATGTTACTTTCTTTTAAGATTAAGTTCTCCAACGACAGGCATTGGCTTAATAACCTCGTAAGCGTTTTTAACTTTCAATTCACCTGCTTGGAGAGCAAAAACGTTGGAACGCAAGGATTCCTAAAGTTGAGGAGACGCTGGTCTTTGAGCAGCTAGTAACCTGACGTTATTTCTTATAACGGCAAATCTTATGTCTCCTCAGCAAGGTTTGATTCGCACTCCAGAAGATGTATTCACAATTCATCCGCTTCCAGACCGACTAGGATTGGAAAAGAACAAAACTCGCGCCCACGTGATTCATAGAAGATCTACCACACCCCTAGAGAGTGTCGGGAAGGCGCTTAAAATAGAGAAAAGATCAGAGAACTGGTGCGGGGTGGAAGGTTGGTATTTTAATGTTAAACGGTCCGGCTGAGCTTTTAATATTATACCCCGCGAAACTTGCCAAAAAAGAAATACAAACAACCGATAATGATCATATATGCAAACACCTCATTGCTTAGTATTTTTGTCCCCCTCTATCACAGCACTCATATTGTTAACTTGCCGTTGCAGACAAGCCAAGTTCCAGGGTGAAGCGCATGGTATTAGATTTGCCCGCTCCAGTAAATTACAACAAGGATTTCACTATTGAAACGCTTGTTGTTGCTGACAAGACAATGACTGATTTCCATGGAATTGAGGAACTCAAAGTTTATGTCCCTAGTCTAGTTAACATTGTAAGTCTAATAACCTTTACTTTAAAACAGATATGAACCACATAACAAGTTTTCAGGTTATATTATTTTAAAAGAAACACCTGGATTCAACTATCACTTTGCTAAGAAGATTTTGTCTTGTTAAGATGTAGAAAATGTTTTTTATTCGGGTGACGTTAGGGATAACGAGCAAACGATAAATTATGGATTTCAAGCTAAGGCCCGGGTCAAACGCCGTACTTCACATGAGCTGAACCCAATGACAGTTTAGGTCGACTCAAATAATTAAAAGAACGCCTGTTTGAGTCAAAGGTCGAACTTAATTCAGTCGAACCGAACTGCCACATCAAACAAATAACAAAAGCGGTCTTGTTCAGTGGCTTAACAAGGTAAAGTCACGCGTTTATGCGTTTGGTTCGACTCATGTGAAGATCGCCGTTTGACCCAAAGTCGGTCTTCAGGCGTCATTCACGGCTGGCCAGGCGTGAAGAACGCCTCAGCCGCTCCAAATAAAATCAGTCGAACTTAATTGGGTCAAACGCTGAACTTCACATGAGCCTAATTGGTTGAATTGGGTTCGGCTCATGTGAAGTGCGGTGTTTGACCCGGGCCTTAGCGAGTCCGTCATGTCGACAAAAATGTGCTGTTAAAATGAAATCTATTCTTCATTGACCTTCATAAAATGGTTTGGTAACAAGCTGTAAAAAGTCTTATTGAGCAAATTATGTTGTTGGTTAACACTTTAGTCATACTGATAAGTCACTCCGACCAGTTACTTCAATTAGTGACCGCACTTTCAATTCAAGCTCAAGAAATGCATTTTTTAAATTGTTTTTTTCCCAATTTAGGTTCACAATCTTATAGGCGACAGTTCCATTGGCGCGAACATGAAGTATGTCTTGCACAAGCTACTCATTCTTGAGCATGATCAGGTGAGTATGCGTCCACACTACGCCGGAGAAATTTGAAAACGCAACTTTATTTCTACGGTCAGGCCTACCGTCCACACTAATCCGTCCACACTAATCCGTCCACACTAATCCGTCACGAAAACGCTGTACTATGTTCAAACCGGAGGAATTTGAAAACGGCGACTTTGCCTTTTAGTGTGGACGGACCATTTGTGATTCAATCTTCACNCCGTCCACACTAATCCGTCCACACTAATCCGTCCACACTAATCCGTCACGAAAACGCTGTACTATGTTCAAACCGGAGGAATTTGAAAACGGCGACTTTGCCTTTTAGTGTGGACGGACCATTTGTGATTCAATCTTCACAAGCAGCTATGTTATCTCATCCGGTTCAACCTCATTGGTATACTTGAGGCGCCACGCACCTCCCAGAGAGCTTAACAGGATTGGCTGAGAAAACAATAGAACAAGCAACTGAGACAATGAACCAATAGAAGCTAACAGGTGCGTGGCTTTTGGAATACGTCATATAAACTCCCTAATGAACATAGAAATAAAGTTCATCATCATTAACCCTTTTGCACACCCTGGGGAGGATAGAGCGTCAACCAGTACCCTCCAACCCACACTGTTCTTTGCTAATGTTTTGGCAGCCGGCTTCCAAGAGTAGCCAACTCGCCGCCTTCCCTCTGGGTGGTAGTTCAAGGCTTGTAGAAACGAAGTTAGGATTATAAAAATTGACTCATTTAGTTGCCACCTGTAGGAAGGGCTCACGATCAGCTCTCATGCTGGTAACACCATGGCAAGCTTCTGTGAATGGACCAAAGGACAGAACGTAGAGGATGATAACCACCCTGATCATTTTGACCACGCTGCGCTTATTTCACGGTAAGAAAATATTTTTTCGTATTTAACGACTTATTTCATGCCTAGGATAAAGCGCTTGATCTTGTGACTGGTTGTGGTCAGGAGGCAGTTCATGATCTCACTTAATTTTGGAGTGACAGACAAAAGAGAACATAACGAAAAAACAGATAAATCCAGTAATTCTCAAAGGTTTGCTCTGTATTCCTTACAAGTGATATCCAGTTTACATACAAATGTAGGTCGACGGAGATATCAGTTCCTTTAATTTGCATCATTTTCCCTTTCAGGAATATAGAACTTGAGAAATTTTTCCATGGTCACCATTTACGATTAACTTCTGCACAGTTTTTGAAGCTGTTCATATCAACCTTGTTCTTATTTCAGTTATGATTTCTGTCGAAACGCGGACAACAGACCAGGCCAAAGCTGCGAGAGAGTTTTAGGTGAGGCATTCTTGCACCTTAATCGGTTAACCAGATTGACTTGGTGCGCCACTTGCGTGGGAAGAATAGATGGTTGTCTTAGCTGTTTTGGGAATGGAACTTTGTTTTGTCACCACATCAGTTGCCGTTAGAATGTACGCAACACTCAGTTCATCGTACATTAAAACCCTTCTAAAAATGTAGTGGGTAGATTGTACTCTTTGGTGTTTAATGTCTCAAAATAAAACTTTCCTCGTAACATTTACATTATTTGAAAGCTTGAGACTTGTTTTTACATTTTCTGTTTCCGGACACGAAGGTCTTGCTCAAGTCCAAGGAATGTGTAGTCTCACCGGAAGTTGTACTTTGAGCAAAGATGGGGGCCTGGGAACAGCGTACACCATGGCACATGAAACGGGTCACAAGTGAGTAGAACAAAGAGAGAGATCTTGTGCGTTATTTTAACGTCTAAGTTTTTAGGTTTGGCTTTAACATAGGTACCCTAGTACTACTATTTAACAAGTTAGGTTTATTCGATGAATTTTGGGTGTGATGTTAAATGGTTTGAACCCAGTATGATGATCCTGGCCAAAGTGGTCTTGGGAAAAGACTGTTGAATGTGTTTCTGCCGCCTGATAATAGTCATCTCGAGATCAGATGCAAGTAAAAAACGGTTCTTCGGTTAATAGTGTCATTTTAAATATCTTTCTGTTGATCTGATTGGTCGACTTGGTGTACTTTATTCCGACAGAGTAAAAAATACATTGTAATGATCACAATTTATAATGCGCAGACTTCCATGTAATTCTTAGTCGCGCATAAAAATTGCATACATTAACAAAAAATTAAACGTCAGCTGCCACTGGGCATTCCGGGATTGAGTGAGTGAGTGAGTGAGTGAGTGAGTGAGTGAGTGAGTGAGTGAGTGAGTGAGTGAGTGAGTGAGTGAGTGAGTGAGTGAGACATTACCGTTAGTTTAACACTTTCTTGTACTTGCGATTGTAATCGGACGTGTTGTTTCTCGCAGTTTGGGAGCACAGCACGACAGCGCAGGCAATCCGTGTGCTGATATAACAAACATCATGTCTACACAGGCCAGCGGTAAAGAAACAGCGTTTGAATGGTCTCACTGTAGCAGAGAATCAATTCACACTTTTCTATCGTGAGTATTCTGCATTTCATTTCATGAGTCTTTTCCGGCTTGTTTCAGTGCTGTCTCTTCAACGTTATATAAAATTCGTCTATTTTATAGTTGCATTACTTTGTATTTTATCGTTTAGCATTCTAGAATTGTGATAACTGTTACTAGCCGCCTCAGTAAAAAATGACAAACTCTGGCTCAAAAGCGGTTACAGTTTGTTTCGGGTTGTGTCTGGTAAACTGGTAACGTTCCCATACTCAACTGTTTATATATTTTTTGCTTAAGCAAATAGTTAGCGGTCTCTCTTTCTCGCGTTTAATTCAAAGAGGAAAAAAAAAATCACACGCAGAAGCAAAAAATAAACACACACACACAAAAAAAGAAATAGAAAAGAAAACCAGTATAATTGAGAGTAATTGACAAGAAATGCCACACATTCAAATTTTAACCGATTTATTTTGTTCATGTAGCCAGGTAGCGGGCTTATGTCCATTGCATTTGATTTTCTTAGTGGCGATCATTCTGCGTGCTTAAAAGATAAACCTCAAAAGGCTGTGAAATTACCAGAACGTCTGCCCGGCGAACTCTATAACGCTGACGATCAGTGCTCGAGGGCCTATGGAGATAAGTCAAGTGTATGTCCAGCTCCTTTTTTGAAAGAGGTGAGTTGTAATAAAAAAAAATAATAAAAAAATAAATGAAAAATAAAAGCTGGCGAGACAAGATCACCGTAAACATTCGTGACCGTTTTGGGCAAATAGCCCCATTCGAGCTCAGTTGTAGAGTACAACACCGACGCGACACATCAATTTTAAGCTTGCAGACAAAATCCTTTAGTACTTTAAGGGCCGTAGCCAGAAAAGAAATTATTACTGAGGCAATGTCTATGGTTAAATCCAGAAAAAAGGATGCAATGTTCATGAAAAATTCTCTACCTAGGTATTTAGCGTGTTTATCGGATTACATTTAAACACAACACTGTGGTCATGCAAAAAACTCGACCGAGGCAACTGCCTCGGGTCGCCTGTTACTAGCTACGGCCCTGCGTTTAAACGCATTTCATCAGGCATGATGGAATGATGAAATGCCTGATGTTCCGTTTTTAGAAAATCTGCACGCAACTGTGGTGTATCAGCCCTGTGACTAGAATGTGCACCACACAACATGAACCTGCCGCGGAGGGAACGGAATGTGGCCAGAAAATGGTAAGATTGGATCAGTGCTAATTTAAAGTTTATAGAAAGAATCGTTAAGCCTAGTCGTTCTTTTTTTGCGTTGTGTCGCAGACTCTCAAATCAGTGCTGTAACGTATAAACAGAGGGAGCTCTTCTAGGTACCTAGATGTTTTTTTTTTGTTTTGCTGTTTACCAACATGGCAGAAATTTTATGACATTTCAATATGGCAGAAATTTCATGTATGTCACCAAATGACATACAGCGGACCCCCAACCCATTCTCAGATCCTCACGTGTAGCACTTTGCTCTCGGAAGAGAAGTATACTCAGGGACTAGACAGAATGGGAATCTAAAATAAAGACGCCCAATTTCGTCTTGGCCAATACCATCCAACCTCGTTCCCAGGGCCTTTTCCATCATCTTCAAGAAAAGGAAGTTAATTGTTTTCCCTGACGGGAATGCTAAAGGACATAATTAGTATCAGTGATAATCCCGACGATGAATTGATTAATACTTCATAATATTTTTGTTACCATTTTTTAGTGGTGTCGCCGCGGAAAGTGTGTCCCGTTTGGCAGCGAGGGGCCTAAGGCTGTGGACGGCGGTTACGGACCGTGGGAAGAATGGAGCGATTGTTCACATTCGTGCGGCGGGGGACTGATAACAAGAAAGAGGAATTGTGATAATCCAAAGTAAGATAACAATAATAATAATTACAAAAAAAGTTAAACTCCAAGCATCTAAAGAGTTTCCTTTAAGAAAAAAGAACGACTGTCATGAAATCCATAGCGCGGGTTGTACATAATGTATCGAGTGATGCCGTTGTTGTATACGATAATCTTTTCAGACCCAAAAATGGTGGGAAGCTATGCAAGGGACACTCTGCAGAGTTCAAGCACTGTCAGACTGCTGTGAGTATAAGCGCAGTTGGTCCCTTAATGTTATTTTGAAATGATCTGTTTGTTTTACCTGCTCGACTGTAAATCTTGAATTCGTTGTATTGTGTCAAGAAGAACTTAATGAATCTCAAACAAATATTACAATGGACCAAAAATCTCCACATTAGAAAAGCTTAAACACGTAAAATCTATTTTGCTTTTTTTAGAAATGCCCAGCAGGGACGCCTAGCCCTAGAGCAAGCCAGTGTGAATCAAAACGACAGATAAAATTCATTGATGGTAACAAGTATCAGTGGACTTACAATCCTGCTGTTCCTGTTATAGGTAAAGAGACTTGACATTCAATCAGCTCACACGACGCACGCCCTGATCACGTGCGAGTCCAGTAGACCTCATGCATGATTTTGTCAGTTGGAAAAGAACTCACTCCTTGGCCTACTTGTAATTCCTATCAAACTCCTGCCACTTTGATGCTGTTTTCACTTTACTGTTTCTGTCTCCTTTGCTGCTTTGTGGATATATTTATGATAAAATGTACAAGTCGTGCTTCGAAACTGGGGCTACCTTGTCTGACATAAAAATGAATAACAGCTATATTCAAGCTGCTTTTTCTTCCATACGGTTATACAACTTCTCCACGGAGTTTGTGTGTTTGAGACGAATCACGAGGTAAATTCCTCGAAACTTGTTCCTAGGGTTTCTCCCTTGAAATTTGGCAGGGGGCTCTGGGAACGAGGTTAAAATTCCACCGACAAAAAAGTCATTTCATTTGAAATCTAGAACCAGCAATGATTAAAGATGACAAGACAAGGTACAGCGCATGAACTGAGGTTTTTGTGTCGTATTTCAGGTGGACAGCAATGTAAATTATCGTGTATTGCTCAGGTAGGTATTCGCCAATTTGCTAAGTATGGATTTGGTTTCGTGGATGACGGGACACCATGCGATGATTACGATGAAAACAGTGGGATTTGTATCAGCGGCAAATGCCAGGTGAGCCATGTTTAAATACCCTTCATGTTGCCGATCCTCAATTATCCGCTCACTTTGACAAAAGCCAAACAACAGTAAGTAAACTCAGTCAATGTATAATGAGAGAGAAAATAGAAAATTCAAACAACCAAGAGAAAATCCCTTCAAGTATGGGCACAAACGTGGCACCAATAATCTCAAGTCAACCTTCCTTCTTAAAGTTGTCACTCTTCCCCCCTGCAGGAGCGACGTTGAACGCAACTGCTTGCCAAACTACTGGTACAACAGTGGCCTCCTTTTCCCATAAAAAAAAAAATAGCAACGAAAAAGTATCGTTTTAGCCTTTTGCCACTCACACAATTGTTGGATTCCATCCTGTCTAGGAAATTCAGGTTTAGCGTTTCATTTCTCTCACCTACTAGCCCTTAGGTTGTGACAAAGTACTTGGTTCCTCAAAAGTGTTTGACCGTTGCGGTGTTTGCGATGGAGATGGAACTTCGTGTATCGGCAAAAGATTAACATATAAAGGCCTTCCCAATCCTATGAAGGGTAAGCTAACCTCGTGTGAAAGATACTAATATACTTAAGAGTCAGCTGATATACACTGGAGTTGTTTGGAGATCTGAAAGTGGTTAAAAGAGCAAGAGGAAAGTGAACATTGATCAAATCCGGGTTGTACGTGTTCACTATATATATTGTCACTTCTCTATTACGATTTTGTTTTTTATCTGTGCTTTTCTGTGGACAGGACATTATCAGCCTATTGGAGTTATTCCTGAAGGAGCCAGAAATGTTCAGATCAGAGAATTGAGTGGTTTCAAAAATTACTTGGGTAAGTTCATAATCTTAACGAAAACTGACCTTGGTTGGCCAAAACATCGCCAATACTGTAAGGAAGAATTTCTCCCGAGTATTAACATGGTAACTTGGGAAGAAAGTGCTTAGGTCTTAATGCAAAGTGAAGTCCATACAAGGATGACTCAGGGCTTTATTTCCTCAGGACGGTCCCGCACAATATGAATTAACAATTTTATAAAGAGGCTGTCGTTGACATTTTACAACTTGCATTTTTCCAAAAAGTTGAGTATTCATAATGCACGTGGGCATTAGGGCGGAATTCGGCCCCACCTATTAACCAGTCGAAGCGCGCGTTACATCTTCTTAAAATCTCTAGCCATATACTAAAGGAGAACAACGACAGTAAGTCGTTATTTTAGCAGAGTAAGCCACCAAATTGTCAGAAATGACGGATATGCTAAGAAATGTATAGTCTGTCCACAGACGTTTATAATTTTGCTGTGAGTTATTTTTCTTCGAGCGCGCGAGTGATGTTTTGATCTTTCCCCAGTCCCACCCCTCTTGCGTTTTAGCCTGTGTATCCCACGCGCTGGGTTAACATTCCGCTAAGCTTGTGAACTCGACGAACTCGAGACAAAATAGAGGGTCTGTGGATAGACCAAGGAATGTATGGTAATCAGTGCTGGTTAACATCCACAGCTATGATGACTGTCGAAGGCAAAGACTTACTCAACATGGACTTCCGCATCAAGCCACGAATCTTTGCCTTTGTCGGCGCTGGTACGAGATTTAAATACACTCGTGATGAGTTGGACAAGGAGAAAATTACTACACAAGGACCGCTCACTCAGGACGTGGAGTTACTGGTGAGTTTAGAAATGAACTGTTATGTATGACTTCAGAAAACTGACAATATGAGCTGTAGAAGTTTCGGGTCAGTTAAGGAAGCCAGGAATTCTAGTTGGATTGTTGATTAAAAAAAAAATTACCGAAGCCAATTAATTTTTTTCCTTCCCATCGTTCTCAGTAACACCCTTCAAACACACTATAGCTACAATGTCATTGAATTTAAAGGGAAGATGGTTTAAAAAGGATAGTCTCGGTTGACATAACCGCGTCCATCCAAACAATCTCAGAAGCACTTTTCAAGACACGTTTCAGTGGGGTCCGCTTTATCATACGTGCAGAAACAACTTTCAACTTGAAAGGAAACACCTAATCAACCTAAATATCTCATTCCATACATTATGAGACATTTGTCGATATTTCAGTTTGACCTTCCTGTCTCTGTTCTCTACAGTATTTAGTTCAGTCCTGGAAGGAAGAATACCAAGTCAGGATACGATATCTTGTCCCACGCTCTAAAGACGACGAGGCCGCGGACGAGAGAATTGCACGAAGCTTGGGGCATAGCTTGGGGCACGAGAGAGTCAGTTTCAAGTGGACAAAGCGCTCGTTAGGCTGCTCTGAAAGCTGTGGAGGCGGTTAGTACTACTTAATGTCACAATAAACAAACTAGAACATCCAGCAAATCTCACTGTCAAGATAGGGGTGGGATGGCCCAATAAAGGGATTCTCCCATCGAAATCAGACCTTTAACGCAACAGGTTACTCGAATTTTTCGATAGTCGAAGTTGACAGATCTATAAAAAGATAACCAATAGAAATAAAAGAAAATGCTGACACGTTTTTGGAGATTGAGGCTTTGTGATAAACACTGCACAGTTATTTTGCATGAACGATCGCATTTGATACCCGATTAATTCCCTGGAACGTCAGTGGGTCATTTTGGAGTTGACGGCCTCTGCCGCCTTTGGAAAGCAAAATCTAAAACAAAACATAATTTTATCGAATTCTACATTTTATAACCTTTCTGTTGATATATAGTTTGTGGGGGTTTCCTAGAAAACAGCGCGAGTACGAATTTTTTTTCTGGAGGACACCCGCGAAGGTTTGAAGTAACCTTAAGCAACTGCAAGTCACCAATTGAATTCATCGTATTTTTAAATAACCATCGTCTATTACAATACAGGAACAGAGTTGTTCAAGGCGACTTGTGTCCGCGCTGATGACGGATCAATGGTCAGCGATCACTATTGTGGCGGAGAAAGGCCTGGTGACGAGACTTTGGAGTGTAACACCCAAAAATGTCCAGCGAGGTAATCCAAAGGTTAATTCGGCTTATATATTAGATATTGAGATGTACAACGCTACAAACATAAGCATTTGCCGTGAGGTCTTGTATCAAACACTAAATACAATTATGTAAGAGACCGCAAACGAAAATGCTGCCGGTGTACGTATTTTTAACATGGTTTGGCCATGTATATTTCTGGGGGACGGTTTTTCTTTGTCCGCAGTCGCCTTATCGCGACAACGACTTGATATTCTGTATTTTTCCTATTGTCCATTGTCACGTGTTTTGCATGTGACATTGGCTAATCCGCAAACATTTGGATTTGAGTTTCATCGGAGGTCATTTCCATGTGCATTTAGTGGACGATCGGTCAAGCAGCCGATTGCCTCACTTTCTGGTACATCGTGCTGACGACGGCCAACAAGGTCGAAACAGCTGTCCACGGTTGCAATTCTTGGCCTTCAGTTTGGGCTCTATCATGTCGTTGTCCCGTTAGGCTTTCTACGTACTTATCAGCCTTGCTTCATTTTTCTTGTATTAACCACGGTCAAACTCAATGCTGGTTTTCACTAGGTGGAAAACAGGAGAATGGACCGACTGCTCAAAGACATGCAACGACGGCCATCCAGGGGAGAGGACTCGGCAGGTTATCTGCGTTGACGAATCACATGACATTGAGACTGAAGATCAGGAATCTTACTGCGCAGGACCTAAACCCGTCACACGAGAGGCATGCGCACTGCAGGCCTGTCCTGCTGAATGGGTGACAGTGAAATCAGGCCCGGTTAGTAGAAAGAAAAACACGAAACGATTCTGTTCCACAACATATCTGGTAATAACGTTTTATCAAATAGATCGCACACTGACGCAAGGGAGTTTTAAAGACTTAAACTGAATTCGCATAAAATTCGCTGTTCATTTCTTACATTCGGAAAAAGAAACGCAGAAGGAAACAAGAACGAGTAAGTTGCGTCAAAGTCCATAAATCCGAGTGACCTAGGAGATACTTTTGCTTTAGGATTTTCAATCAGTCATGATATATAGAGAACTAAACTTATCTCTAATTTCACAAGACTTATGCCCCGTTCACACCAACTTAACTAGGTTAACTAAATTAGGTTTAGGTTTTTCCAATTTGTTGATTACGCTTTGCAGTCATTTGAGAAGAAAAATTTCAAACCACCTTGTAAACATATTTTAATCAAACAGGTTTTTACGTTGTAAGTTGTGGGGTGTGCATGGTTTTTAGCAGCTAATTTTTTAACCTAGTTTTGATTAACCACTTTTAAACACGTTTACCATGTTGGTGTGAACGTGGTATTTGTTCTATATTCCGAACCATTTCCTTGTTTTCTTCTAATTCCAGTGCTCCTCAGTTGGTGGCAAAGGAGTGAGAAAGATTGAAGTGGCCTGCGTGAAGACAACGGAATCCAACAAGAAAGTCAAAGTGGCAGATGAAGAGTGCAGCGGACAAAAACCTCCCACTACGGCCTCATGTGATATTAGGATACCTTTTTAATGATGATTAGAATCAAAACAGCTGTCAAGCTCGATAATACAGAAGCTTTTTTCTAACTACTATCAATAGTTTATCAAATACCATAGTAAGCATTCTCGTTGACTATTTTTTTTTTTTACTAGCGCTATTCGTTTCTTAACAGCTACAAAACGTAACTCAATAGATAAAACAGCAAAGCATTTCGAAAGTTGCGTTAAGGTGCACTGAGAAAGCAGTCACAACCATTTTCGCAAACGGTCGACTGTAACTGGAAATTAAAGTCAAGCCCAGCTGCTCGGCACGACACAGGCCACTGATTTAACTTGATGAAAAATATAAACGCGTTCCTTAATTTCAATGCAAAGTTATGATCATTCAACAAAAGCACGCACCCTTTGTCTCGCTGCGTCTCTCACTGATGGTATTAGCAATTCAGCTAGTTCTGGGAGTTTAAGATCTAACACCCAAGACTGTGAAGGAATTTTACCTAATAAAGGATGATCGCGTCATACCTTGTCACTTGTCTTAATAGGTACCAGTGATTGGTCACCGCACCAATCGAACATTGCCCAGTAAAGGAGATAATACTTATTTGATATTCATAATGTTCTGCGACTGAGCCAACAGCCATGACGCAAGTGGTGTATGAAAATGCCAGGTAACATGCTGTTATCATTGTTGAAGCAACCCGGAGTAGCACCCCTCTTAGAGATATGCAAAATTTGCTATTCAGACATTCAGAACCTAGTTCTGGTGGCGCGATGAACAGGCTTCTGGGACGAGGACGCGTTAAAGGAAGAAATTCAGGGGAAACGTTAGGATAGCATAATGATCCATTAAAAATCGTCATTCACAACAATGCATTAATTAACGAGGCAGGTTCCCCTTCATTATTTATAAGCATTTTCTATTGACGTTGAAGCAAATTCTAAAAACAAGTTGCCATAGAATAAACTAGCAACTGGAGCAGTCCACTCTGAAAACTTACAATGCGTTTATTACCAGATGAGCTTGCGCTATTGGCAATTATGTAAATTTAAGAGGAAAAATCACGAAGATCAAACATAAATGCCCAGCACTAATAATGAACTGAAACTACAAACTGAACGGCTTGCGAACCTTCAAGCTAAAAATGCACCAAACCCAAGTTCTCTTGTTTACAAGACTACGATTATTCTACTGAGGTACATTTCCTAGTTGACATGAGTTCATGTAATACAAAGTCACTGTAACTGTCAGCGGTTTACATCAAACGAAGTACTCCAACTCTGTCGTTGCACACGGCATCACAGCTAAGCCTTAACAATTCCCTTGTGAACGTTTCCAGAAGTCAAGCCTCCTGTGAAAGTTATAATCGAAACTGACCGTACTGTTGAGCCCTACAAAGCTTTAAGTACAAAAAAAAAAACAATTTTTTTTCACAAAGCAGGAAAACACCAAAACTACTAGTTCACCGCATCCTTCTATACACTGATAAAGAGGATGCTCAGTAAAACCTATTGTCTGCTAGTAATTCAACAATAGTCAACAAAAACCGACACTTAAATGGTACCAACTTGAAGTAAGTTGTACAGTTCAGGTTTTAACTATCGCCTATTGGCTTTGAACCTCATATCTGGAGTGCCATCACTCTTCAGCGGACCACAGGAACTGGACCCATAGCTAAGGCCACTGGAAGATGACCTAGAGCTGTAGCTTGCACCACTAGGTGAATAGGAGGACCTGTTTGCAGCATACCTCATGTCTGGAGTACCATCACTCTTCAATGGACCACAGGAACCTGATCCGAAAACACTTCCCCTGGAAGATGATCTAGAGCTGTAGCTTGACCCACCAAAAGAGTACCCTGAAGACAGACTTCCAGAAGATGTCTTGTTTACAGCATACCTCATGTCTGGGGTTCCATCCCTCTTAACTGGACCGCTTGGAGTGCTATAGGATGACAGCTGTGATAGTGTGCTTCCTCCATAGCTGCTATAAGGAGAAGGAGAGGCAGACTGCTTGTTTACAGCATACCTCATGTCTGGGGTCCCATCCCTCTTAACTGGACCAGCTGTATACGATGATCGTGGAGCTGGATTGCTTGTTTGCGATGAAACCACCGGGTTGCTGGATTGTTTGTTCACAGAAAAACGCATGTCGGGTGTACCATCTCGCTTCAAGGGCGATGCCACACTGCCAGATGAAGGTATCTTTGCTTGGGCACTCTTATTCACTTTAAAACGCATGTCGGGTGTTCCATCTCGCTTCACAGGCGATGACACACTGCCAGATGAAGGTATCTTCGCTTGGGGACTCTTATTCACTTTAAAACGCATGTCTGGTGTACCATCTTTTTTGACAGGGCCAGAGCTTGGAGTGCTTTCTTTTGGAGACGACTTTGAACTTTTCTGGGAAGATGCCTGGGTAACAGCGTCTTTGTTTACTTTGAATCTTCTATCAGGTGTGCCGTCCTTTTTCAGTGGCCGCTGTTCTTTGTTGATCTTAAACCTCATATCCGGGGATCCATCTTTCTTCTTCAGTCCTAAAGATCGTCTGTTTTCTTTCAACCTCAGGTCAGGCTTTCCATTTTTCCTTCGGCCCGTACGTGGAGAGACTTCTAAATCTGGATTGCTTGGTTCAGTCGGCTGGAATTCTTCTGGGATGTCGTCAGTTTGGAAAAGAGCATCCTGGAGGCTATCAAATGATCCTCTGTCTGTGGCTTCCTGATAGAAACGGGCTTCGGCTAGCTTTCTTCGAGCATTCTGGACAATTTCAAGACAACGTGCGGACTTCACAATGAGGGGATGTTCTTGCAGATAGTCTAAAAACTCCAGACTTGTGAGGCTCAGCCGAACACACTGCAGTAGAACCTCCATGTAAGGTGAACGCCCGTCTTCGTCCGCTTCTACCCATTTAGCAACAGCATCGAACACATCTCCTTCAGATTCCACACAGAGATCATCATGTTGTATGACTTCTTTCAGATCTTCATACTCAAGCTCATCGAATTCGTCTTCTTCGTAAACGCTTCTAAAGTGGGCGATGATAAAGGCTTTGGCTTCCTCTTCAAGATCTTTGGTGTATATACTCTCATCTTTCCTCGCTAGCCATAAAATACCGACCGCGTTATGGGAATCCAGCTGCAGACTCAGCCAATCACAACAAGGTCTGGCAAGCGCGGGAATCTCATAACGGCAAGCTGCATTAAGTAAACCAACCACGTTCTCTTTTTCCAGTGTGATGTCACCAGTGTATATGTACTCTATAAGATCTCCTAAGATGCTTGAGGAGACTTCTTTCAGGCGATACTTAGTCCCTTCTTGAGAGAACAGTTCATTTGAGAGAATTTGCCTCAACACTGGCGACGCTGCTGCAATGAGTGGTCCATGGACAGCAAACTGTGTGTTGCCTTCCCCATCTTCCAACAAAGTAGTTGTCAACTCTGATTTTTGGAACATGCCATACAGCTGCGAGAGTGCGCGATGTTGATCCTTATGTTCTTCTCCTTGACACATCATTTGCAGAGAATCGATGCCGTACCTCTCGGCAAACGCTTTCAGGGGATACAGCAATCCTTCGTCTTGAGGGAACTCGGCCTGATACAGGAAATCGCGAAAGGCCTTAAGCACCTCTGCGGTACAATCTTTTAAGGAAATAATCCCCGTGGTACAATCAAAGTGCTCTCCTGTAAGACTCTGTTTGATAACTGGGCTGCATACTGCAAGTAGCATGGAGTGGAACGGCTCTTCGTGATCTTTCGATGTAGAGCGCACTACTACGTCCGTCAAGAGCCCTTCCTTAGCCTGCATCTCGCAGAGGTTATTGAAAAGAAGTCTGGCATGTTCTTCTTTGCCAAACGAGTAAATCAGTCTTCGTTCGCCCATATCCTTGCCTTCGCTCACGGGAAGATCTAGTGGTGAGTATTTAGAATCCATTCCTGAAGCCAAAAACATTCATAGTGTAATCGATTTCTAACCGAAACCAAGCTAATAAATGTGACTTTATGTTGGGGGGTTGGTAGCAAGAGGACATGGGATAGTGAGTAGCCAAGAGCAACATTTTACTGTGATTAGGAGTAGGAGTTAAGCGTCCAAGCGCTGTTACACCTCCAAGAGACTATGATCCAGATCAGTCCCTTGACAGCAGGCAATTTTTCTTGCCTCGTCTCGCAATGTTGTCGCGACACAAGTTGAGAGAAAATTGCCTCGTGTAACATTCCCTGAAATGATTAGGTCTCGCAACGTTTTCGCTTCATGACCTAGGCTCTCCTCTCGTTCCCTAACAGGGTCAAATTGTAGTCTAATGCACTTGCATACTAAGTGGGATCCCGAATTATTAAGGAGCTGATTGAATTTTCTCTGGCCTACAGGGTCTTACTTTTCCTGTATAATTGAAGGAGGGGGAGGTGGGGGGGGGGGTTGAGCACGGTCCCCTACTCCGGATCCGCTTCCAACTTGCCCCTGTTCGTGGGCCGTAAGGCTAACATGTTTTATCAATTTTAAACCTCGGATAATGCATTTCTAGCTTTCTGATCAATTTGAAATCGTTGTTAACTCGTTAGCACGTTTTCATACACAATTTACCGTAAGAAAAAGTTTTAAACTTACTATAAAAGTTAAGAACACCTGGCGATAAATCACGAAACATTTTTGCAAAACAGCTTTAAATTTTACCGGGCCGTACAACAGAATACGGCCCGCTAAATTGACCAATAAAGGCGCTCGTAGTAACCGAGAGATTTTGATACTTCTCACCTCGAATTACTTTAGCCAAAGCAATCAGAAAATTCCCTACGGTGGTAAATAGCAAACGCTTTCTCGGTTCGCCCACTGAAAAAATTCTCAGAAAAAAGGTATTTTCCGGGAAAAACAGGGTTTCCGCTTCCGTTTTTTTCTAGGAATCTTGACTACTATGAGAGCGCGGATATCATTTACTTCAGAAACGTTTTCTCGTTCCACTGAAAAAATTCTCGGAAAAAAGGTATTTTCCGGGAAACAAGGTTTCCGCTTCCGTTTTTTTCTGGGAATCTTGACTTCCATAAGAGCCCGGATATCATTTACCTCAAAAAGGAAACTTCAGGAATGTTCGACCAAATGGACAGCGCTCCGGCTTAGTTCTGATCAGATTATTTAGTCCCACTGAAAGGAACTTCTGGCAAACGCCGGTTCTCGAGAGTTTTGCGTCCAGAAATAATTCTCAAACGCATTGTTAATTTTAATTTTACAAAGAGATTGTTTATGGGAGCCTGCAGGCTAAATGAACCGAACAAAATTACCATAACTAAAACATAAACATTTCATCAGAGGACAATAATTCTGATATATTTATTTGTCTGTGCTCACTAAAGCATAAGATTTAATTGAAAGTGAAAGTTAATTGATATGCATTACTTCAATAACCCAAGGGCGTGAGCAAAATAGTAAAATCAATCTGTCTGACTCTCCATCACTGTGATTGGAAGTGCCACAAGCAATGGGAGAACCCAAAGTTACCCCCCCCCCCCCTGCACCATCCTGGGTTCTCATCTCTGGTAGAGTTCATTTCATGATACATGTAACCACTACATAATTTGAACAGCTTTGAAGATGTAAGTTAGTGTTACACCAAAAGCAGCAATAGTTTTCTTGGTCTTGCTAAAATCCTTTTGCAGTTCTGTTCAAGTGGGCAAGTGGAACATAGGTGGGAAGGAACAATAAAAAAAATGACCCAGGAACATCAGTATTAAAAAGGGACTATCACAGAATCCTGTTTCTACTAGCCTTAAAAATAACTTATCACAAGTTTAAACCATATTCACATAGAGTGTAGGGTTGCACAGCTTCCTCAAACGATACGATATCATATCGTAACCACCCACCTATCCCCTCCTCTTACGACCACCCCCCCCACCCCCCCCGCCCCGCTCCCAAAGTGGGTTTCTGCTTTGACACTGCATGCAATTGTTGATGAAGAAAACTAGCCAAGTTTCGGAACTACTATCTTGTTACTCATTTATCTAAATTTTTCTGAATTTGTTTTCATTGTTTATTAGCTACATATTAACGGATGAAGAGCCACCTCGTGGATTTAACTTACTGTCAATAAATATAACTTATTAGATGCCTTGGTGAGACGAGCCCATAGGGCGAGTCAAAACACAAACCAGTAAAATACTACACACGAAAACATCTAATAAGAGATTTACTATCAATAAATTTAGCAATGAAAGAGGGAGAGTGTGAGAGTTTTGCGCGCGCGCGCCGACCTGTATGGCAAGCAAGTTTTCTACTGTACAAATAACTGAACAATATCGCTGTATATTTGTACTGTTGTTTGGACGGTATTCGCTGCAGTTGGATAATAAAATCGTTGGTTTCATCGGTTTTTCATGAAAACATTCAGTATTGAGTCACTATGAACGGATTCAACATCTGCCTGATTCTTGAAAGAATAATATTCCCATTTTACCTGCACATCATTCGGCTGTCGAGTGAATCGTAGCAGCTCGCACTTCGATCGATTCGGTTTCACTTTAAAAGTCACTTTAGAAAACTCGCTTAGCGTATTAAAATACCGAAAATCTCAACCCTTAGGCTAGGTAATAGCATTTCGATACTTGAGTCACTATGGATAAAACGAATAACTTACCAGATCGCTTCTACGATGCGATTCAACTCCAAACACTTCTGACGAATAACACCGCGTTGGGTTTTGAAAGACCTCGAAAGCGAAACCCAAAACACACGAGGGCGCCCAGGTGGGAAAGATCATACGGGAGCTTTCATACATTTGGCGGAAATAATATATTGCGTGACGATAGTGTAACGCGTGCGCCCTGACTAACGCAAACTGAATTCACGTTCGCGACGATTAAGTTTTTCTCCTTTCTGTTAGAACTTTTAAAAGGAATCCTGAACTCAATGCACTGGAAAGAGATTCTCACTTTTCTCTACTCAAGCAAATACTAGCCTTTATACAGGAACGGAAGAAGTCACACTTTCTTTCCTTCCTGATGCTAGACCACTGGCCGATCAAAATTCGAAAACTACGAACGGGAAAGCCTTTGCGACTAGGGTATTGGACAGTAATTGCTACTGAAGACTATTTCAATTTGTAGCGATCCACATTCGAACCTGTATATAATGGCCACCGTCAGGACTTTGAGGAACTGGCTACTTAATACAGGTGGCCGCCGAGTAGTACAGGATCACTAAAAATACTCACTGGGCATGGTCTAATGATATGGTACTGTACTTCAGCACATTGCGGACATATGCGAAGCGTTAACGATACTAAATGACCGATTCTCAACTTACAGTAGTTTTGTACATGCTATTTCTTTATAGTGCTGATGGATTGCATTTAAACACAATAAAATACCGCATAAAATGACATGTGGCTTAGTTTCTGTTCAAGGGTGGCTGCTTAATACAGGTATAAATAACAACGAAAGACAAACATAGGACTGCTACAGTGTGGCCGCGGTCGCTTAATAGAGGTGGCCGCCAAACACAGGTAACAAATACAGGGTTTGTATGAGCGAAAAAAATCGGGACTTTGAAAACTGGCCGCTTAATAGAGGATAGCCCCTTTTAAGGGGCTGGCTCCCTTTATTATTACTATTAAGCCCTGTATTAAAATTTAGGGCTTTTATATACAGGTTTGACTGTACTGAACAGGGTAATTTACATGTAAGTTTTTATAGCTCTCTTTCAATCATAAAGTGTAAAGTGAAGCCTTGGAGCCGAATGACTCATAGCTACCGGAGCTTATCCCGGTTTCTGTAGCATGAAGCGGCTAGGAATATTTCTACTCCCCCTGGACGGGATGCTAGTCCATCGCAGGTCACTCCCCCGCAATTTGTTAGGTTTCCCCACCAATTCGCCGGTACCCATTTATACTCCTGGGTGGACAGAGGCACTGTGAGAGTTAAGTGTCTTGCCCAAG